CCATCCATCCATCCATCCATCCATCCACCATCCATCCATCCATCCATCCACCATCCATCCACCATCCATCCACCATCCATCCATCCATCCATCCACCATCCATCCATCCACCATCCATTAATCTACCATCCATCCATTTATCCTTATATCCATTCAACAACCATCCAACCATCCTTCTATCCTTGTATTATCCATCTGTCCATCCATCCATCCATCCATCCATCCATCCATCCATCCATCCAAGCTTCTATCCAGGCCTCCTTGTGCGTCTGAATCCACATTTAGGGGCTCTGATGGATGGGCTCTTCCCTCTCTCTGAGCCACAAGAAACCTCCCTACCCCCAGGAGACTGAAGGGCAGAAAAATAAGCCCATATGAGGGTGCTGGGTCCTTCTGCTTATATTTGGCTTTTCTTGGATAATTTGAAGCTGGTCCAGGTAGGGCCCCTCGCCAGCCTCTAGGGTCAGCATCCAGGCTGACCAGTAGAGGCCCTCCGTGTAGACTTGCTAGCCTCTGGGCAGCTGTGCCTCTTTCCTGCAGCTGGTGTACCTCGACCCTCCCTCCCCACACTGCAGTTGGTGCTTCTCTGTTGCAGATTCCCTGGGTGGGGGCTCTGAGGGCCCATGTTTCTGCCCTACCCCCTGCAACCTGACCCGCTACGGGAAAGAAATCTCCATGGTTAAGATTCCCAACAGGGGCTCAGCCCGATACCTGGCGAGGAAGTACAACCGCAACGAGACCTATATCCGGTATGCGCACGCGCGCACAGGTTTGCATGTGGTGGAGACGGGGAGGGCTGCGCCTTTTTGCTCATAATGAGTCTTCTGGGAAAGAATGCCTTTCGCCCTTTCCTCCAACTGACCTTACTCATCTTTTGTGTCACATCCGGCTCTCCACGTCTGGAGAAGCCCTTCCTCATCCAGAAGAAGCCTTTCCTCTGAGCCCCGACAGCACCCTGCACATGCAGGGAGACCAGTGACATTGGTGCTGGGCCAAGGGAGTGAATGGGATGTGAGTGGAACAGGGTGGCACCTGGGGCTGCCTGGGTCCTGTGGATACATGATTAGGACCCAAACCCAAGACACACTTTGTAAATGAGCCCCTATCTCTTAGTGCGGAACGAATTCCAAGACTCCAGAGCTCACATGAGGGCAATGAGCTGAGGACCCCAGGTTTGGATCTGGGAGGGGAGGAGACAAAAGTAGACTCGGAGATCTGCCTGAGCAAAGGGCCGTAAAACAGTTTGGATCATAAGGAGCAATGGAGCCTGTCACAGGCAGCCTTGAATGTCTGGATGTGGAACTTTGGAGCAGATTGTTGGACAGTCGGGAGCCATTGAAGGTTCTTAGGAGCCACTGAAGGTTCTTAGGAGACATGGAGTGAGGCAAAATGAACAGCATTAACTTAAGGCCCAGGAGTTTTATTTCAGTCTCCTGTGTCCTCTGCTTTGATGGGAAATCTGAGGAGAATGTGAGTCTAGGCCCACCTCCACTCAGCCTCCGAGAACCTGAGGTTGTGGCCGCCAGCTTCCTGGTGGATGGGGTCTCAGACCAGGTTCTGCTGGAGCTGGCACGCCCAAGGCTACCTTGTACGGGAAAGTCCATGGATACCTGCTTCTGGTCTCCACAGGGAGAACTTCCTGGTGTTAGATGTCTTTTTTGAAGCCCTGACCTCCGAGGCCATGGAGCAGAAAGCAGCTTATGGGCTCTCAGCCCTGCTGGGTGAGACCTGTCCCCTGCCCCCGACTCCACCCAGGAGTGGGTGAGCCAGCCTCCTCCCTCTGACCCTGATCTCCTGCTCTCAGGTGACCTCGGGGGACAAATGGGCCTTTTCATCGGGGCCAGCATCCTCACACTGCTGGAGATCCTCGACTACATCTATGAGGCAAGAGTGGGAGGTGTGATGGGGGCTCCCAGCTGGAGGCAGGGTGAGTGGAGGAGGCCTCTGGGAGACACTGTAGGGGTCTGCTCAGGAAATCAAATTCAGGTTCTTTGCTCTGGTGACCTGGGCCCCCTTCACTCTCATTCCAAGGCCCAAGGGCTTGGAGGAGTCTGGGAAGCAGCAGGATTGGGCGATGGGGGAGTCCGGTGGGTATCTACTGGTTGGCTGGTGTAAGTGGGGCCAGGAAGGTCCTCCTTTCTATATCAAGTGTCCTGAGCCCCTTGCCAGCCCCCTTGAACTCCCAGGTGTCCTGGGACCGAATAAAACGGGTGTGGCGTCGTCCCAAGACCCCTCTTCGGACCTCCACTGGGGGCATCTCCACCTTGGGGCTGCAGGAGCTGAAGGATCAGGTGAGGAGAGGCCAGTCTAGGGGACACTGTCCTCTGAGTGAGCCCAGGCGCCCCTCTGGAGCTCAGACTTGTTTCTCTTGGCAGAGTCCCTGCCCAAGCCGAGGCCGCGCTGAGGGTGGGGGAGCCAGCAGCCTGCTCCCCAACCACCACCACCCCCATGGCCCTCCAGGAGGCCTCTTTGAAGACTTTGCTTGCTAGGATGGTGCTGTGTCTTAAAGGACCCAGGAATCTGGCTGGGGTCCATCCCCAGACCCCCCCTATTCCCTTACTCCTGGGACCTAGAGGCCTAGGGACAGCTCAAGGCTGTGGGAGAGGGGGGAGATGCCCAGTGTGGGGGTGGGACATATTTCTTGTTCTCACCACCCCCAGTGCCAGGCCGCTTTGCACAAGGGTCTTTCTTGTCTGCACCCACCACCCCAGGTGGGTGCCCCAGGGAGGGCTGGTAATCAGACCTGGGGCCCTGTGGAGGGAATGGGAGGAGTGGAGGGAGAGGTAGGAGTCCTCTCCAGTAGGGTGGGACCCTCTGTACATTTGTATATATTCAGGGTGGGGGTGGAATACAGATATAGAAGGCTGGGTGGGACTGTAGGGAGGGGTGATTCAAGGACAGCCAGGGTCCTATCCTGAGTATCAGCAGGAGAGGGGGAGCCACTAGGTCTCAGGGGCGCTGAGCCACCCTGCTTCCTGCCCCTCCCAGGGCCCAGCTCCTCTCCTGGCAGGGGGAGGGGATGGCCCAGCAGGCCTGGCCCAGCTCCTAGTTCCCCCTGCACCCACACCAGTGGCCCTCAAAATGGAGAGCAGGTGGGAAGACCCTCAGACCCTGGCTGAGCTTGGGGGTGGGGAAGGGAGCCTTCTCAGGCATCCCTCCCTCGGATCTGGTTTTGTAAAGTGCTGATGAAATTGGGAATAAAGCAGCATAAAGAATTCTCTGTGTGTGTGTGTGTGTGTGACTGAGCACATGCTGGGGCCTGGCCAGCTGGGCAGACACATGACTCCCCATGAGAGGAAATCAGGCCCAGGAGGGGCCAAAGCACCTCCCTCCTAGCCCCTCTTCACCCCAGAACCAAAACTCTAAACCTGTTACCCCAGATCTGTTCAGACTCATGGGCCTTCATTAAAACTAGGTGCTCCTGGCTAGAATTTTTAGGGAGGCAGCTCAGCAGGTACTCAAGGAATTGCTGCTAACTGGGTTCGATCCACTGACCTTTTCATTAGCAGCAGAGTACAATCCATTTGTGCCACCCAGGGTCAGCTCTCACCATCCCCTCGGTTACTGTCCACAAACGCAGAATCACGATTCCACACTCAGCCAATTTATTCAAGGCAGGGAGCTTCATCAGGGGCTCGGAAAGAAGCTGGAGGTGGCCCCAACCTCTTCTCTACGCTTTCCCTCCCCCCAAATCTCATCTGCAGCCCAGCCCCCAGGTGACCCGGAGGCGGACTGGCGTCCTAAGTACAGAGGCCACAGCCCAAATCAGCAGCGTCGAGGGGATAGGAGGTCGGCTGGGGCAGGGAGGGCTGGCTGGGGGCTCCTCCGCAGGACTTGTCCTGAGCCTGGGGACCCACGGAGCCAGAGGGGGTCAGTGGCCAGCCCTGTCCGGTTTGTTGGGGCGGGGCGGGGCAGCCCCCGGCAGCTCAGGTGCTGTTGCCCTGTTCCTGCTCAAAGAGCAGCATGGCGAGCTGCGTGCGGGAGCCCAGGCCCTCGAGCGCGCTCTGACGGCAGCGGTGGTACAGGTCCTCGCTGAGCCGCGCGCTGCACGCCTGTGCCCGGTAGCGCTGCAGCAGCGCCGGCTCCACCGCGCGCAGCACGTGCAGACCCGAGAAGCGCAGGAACAGCTCGTACACGTCCAGGCCCTCCAGCAGCTCCTCCTCCTGCTCGGTGGCGGCGGCCAGCCGCCCGCGGGCCGCCACGTAGTCAGAGTTGTAGAAGCAGGCCTCGCTGGCCGCCTGGCGGTCGAAGCGGCCTGTGTCCCGGCCCAACTCGGGCGGCCCCGGGCCCTGCGGCGGGGCCACGGCCGGGTGGAAGGCCTGGAAGTGCATGGGGAAGAAGGCCTGCCAGCCGGAGATGGCGTGCATGCGGCAGCGGTTCAGGAAGTCGGGGGTGAGCACCGTGTCAGGCCCGGCCAGCAGGAAGAGCGTGTCCAGTGGGTGCTTCTTGGAGAGCAGGTCCATGAGGCGCAGCGGCGCGGGCACCGCCGTCTGCACGCTGAGCCAGGGCACCCGCGCGCCGGGGAAGCGCCGCTCCAGCTCGGCCACGTGGGCTTTGACGGGCGCGAAGACGTCGGCGTGCGCAGCCCGCTGCGCCTGGCGAGGCTCGTACAGCAGCAGCAGCGTCAGCGCCGCGGCCGCGTCTCCGGGCTCCAGCGCCGCCGTGGCGAAGGCCTCCAGGAAGCCGGGGGCCAGGTCCCGCTCGGCCGCGGCCAGAGGCAGCAGCACGGTTAGACGCGAAGCCTCGGTGACATAGGGCACAGGGAGGATTTCCACGCGGCTCAGTGGCCGCAGCAGCTGGACCCGGTGGGTGAGGGGCCAGCGACCGCCCTGGGGGGTCAGTGCCTCCAGCTGCAGGTCCAGTGTGTACTCCATGCCCCGGGCCGGGTCAAAGCGCCGGTAGCCGTTGACCAGCTGCTGCTTCTGGAGCCGCAGGGCCGGGTGGTAGCGGCGGTTGAGCTCCTCCAGGGCAGCCCCGAGAACGTCAGCCACGTCGGCTCGGTCAGCACCGCGCAGCGGGCAGCGGGGTGAGCCATCGGCGCAGGAGAAAGCATGCTGCTCGGTGAAGTACTCCCAGCGCAGCACCTCAAAGCGGGAGGCTGGGCGGGATGGGGCGGGGATGCCCACGGGCCACGCGGCTGCCCGCTCGCCATCAGCTGCCAGGCGGCTGGTGTTCTGGATCTCCCACTGGGTCAGAGAAACGAGAGCGTCAGCAAGGCAGAGGCTGCAGGGGCCGGCCCACGGCCCACAGCTGGAAGGAAGGCTGGGCAGGAAGCGGGTGCCAGCCAAGAAGGCTCCTCTCCCCTCCCAGGCCTCCCCCTTGTTATTACCCCAGATGAAGGAGGCCTGAGTTAAAAGAGGTGCTCCGTGGAGAGCAGGTCTGCACCTCTCAGGCCCGGCCTGACCCCAGCCCAGGCTGTACCTGCAACTCCTGTATCTCCTGGTATGTGCGCTCCAGCTCAGCTCGGGCGAAAGCCTTGTGCAGCTGGTACATGTGTACGGGGTCGCGCACAGGGTGGGCTGTCAGAGTGCTGCGGAAACGAGGGTCTCCCTCCTGCACTGGCTTCCCGGGGCTCAGCTCCAGATAGCTGTAGTGCACACCCTGGGAAGAAGAGCGGAGTCCCGTGTGGGAAGGCCCACAGGTCCTGCTTCCTCCTTGCCTCTCAGTGAACACCTCATCTCCTCAAACTGCTGCGGACTTAGGAGACAGCATGCTCTGGGAATGGGCGAGCCTAAGCAAGCCTCTGCTAGCTCATCTGTGGAATGGGCATGATTTCACCTATCTCACAGAGCTGTCTGGAAGCGTAAAGAAATCAGCTAAGCTGACAACTAAAATGTTGCTGTACTAGCTGTCAGAGTCAATTTCTACTTACAGTGACTCCATGTGACATATTAGAATTGCCTCATTGCATTTTCTAGGCTGTAAATCTTTATGGGAACAGACTTGGAGATCTGTTCTCCTGTGGAGCCTCTGAGTAGGTTTCAATGGCCAACCTTAACTATTAGCAGCAGAGCACTTAAGTGCTGCACCACCAGGCCCCTTTTACTCTTACTAAAAGGTCCCCTTTTCCTCTCTAATCTTTTTAACAGCCACAAGCAAGAATTCATTCCTGTGGCATGGATGAGAGGCGACCTGATCACAGAGGTAGGAGATGACAGAACTAGCCTGTAGCTCCATGCTGGCTCGCAAGGGGGGGAATATGAATGAGAAGGCACCAACGGGGCCACCTCTTTTCCCACCTCGTGGTCTCCGGTGCAGCCCACACCGGTGGCATCAAGGATGCAGCGTCCCAGCCATTCATCTGGGTGGGCACTGACGATGTCGTTTCGGCAGCCCTCCAGGTGTGGGCGCAGCTGCTGCAGCAGCGTTCGTGATAGCAGCACCCCAAAGCCACCGTGGCAGTAGCGGCCTGGGGTGGGCTCCCCACCGATGAAGTCCTGGGGCCGGCCCAGGTAGAGGTGGGCAGAGCCAGCCAGGCTGAGGCGGCCAGCCAGGCGCGCCAGTCCGTGAGCTTCGGTGTAGGTGGTGTCGGGCACCAGGAAGAACCAGTCAAAGTCATCGCCGTACTGATCCAGCAGGTGCCGGAGGGCCAGGTGTAGGTGCCCGATGGGCCGCTCCTCACCCAGGGTCACCACGGCCATGCCTGGGGGTGCGCGGCGGCCCCGTGTGCCTGTCAGGAACACCACCCGCTCGAGCCGGTGTCCCAGCGTTCGGTTCACAGCCACGCCCAGCGTGGGCAACGTGGCCTGTGAGGTGAGCACGGCCACCAACAGCCTCTGCCTGATGCCCAGCTCCGTGCTGATGTAGCGGGTCCTGGGAAAGGAGACGGCATGAGGTTATGAAAAAGCAGCAGGGCCGACAGGAGGCTGTCACCAGGGTCCCAGCAGAGGCAGGTTATGTCTTTGCTGGGTCTGTCTCCTTATCTATCAGTAGAGTCATAAGATTTAAGGAAAATATTAGCCTTATTTAAGATAGGCCAGAGTTTCAATATGTTGTTCATAGAGTTACTGTGAATTGCAGTGGACTAGAGAGAGCCTAACAACAACACTGACCCTCAGATACCCGATAAGGGCTGCCATGAGGGGGGGTGGACTCTGGCAGCGTGCGGCATTTGGAGTAGGGAAACATTCATGAAGTTAGGAGCTAGGTGATGTGGGTTTAATGCCTGGCTTCACTAAGCGGTGGTTCTGCATCCTCGAGCATGTTAGTTCACTGATTATCTGGGTTTCAGTGGTCGTTAGGTGCCCTTGAGTCAAACATGACCCACTGCGAACGTGTGACCCACAGATCCGAACCCTGCCGTCCTCACCATCAATGATACACTTGAGCCCACTGCTGCAGTCACTGTCAATCCATCTCCCTGAGGGTCTTCCTCTCATTCAGTGACCCTCCAAGTATGATGTCCCTTTCCAAGGAAGAGCCTCTCCTAATAACACACCCAGAGTATGTGAGACGAAGATTTGCCATCCTCGTCTTCAAGGAGCACCCTGGCCACATTTAAAAGACAGCTGAACTAACTACGAGTCATACTATCTATTCCATATGCTATGCATATCATCTTCTCTGTAAAGGTCATTATACTAGAAATGCACTAAGGAGATAATCTAAAGGAACATATAGTATTGTATTTGGGGAAGGGGCAGGCTGGGGCTCAGGGGTTCCAGTAATTTACCTGCCATAATGCCAGAACCTAAATTGAAGAACTGGAATTTGAACCCAATGGTGATGTTATGTGCCCTGGAGTCGGAATCGATCCATAGCTGACCCTTTAGCCGGTTTTCAGGGGCTGTGAATCGCACAGAAGACTCCTTCTACAACCCACTGTTACTAAGGAGAAATTACTTCAACCCATCAGGGAAGCATTAATGGAATGAATACTCCCTTCCTCCCAACACCTTCCTCCTAAGGTGGTCCGTGTAATCTACCCAGGAAAAAGCCCTATGAGTAAATCGTAAGTTTTTCTTTCTCTGTGTGCACATCCACCCTATAGATCATTCATTTCTGGAGCACAAGAGCCCAGCCACAGAGCTAAGAGGATCTTTGGAGGTAGAGCACATTTAAGGGCAGAGGTGGGCAATTTCAGCCCAGCCCGGGCCAGGGCCCCGAAGGGGCCTCAGATGGGGACCGCAGCTCCAGGGGAAGCAAGAGCATCGGAAGTTATTCGAGCCCAAAGACTTCCTGGCCGAGCAGTCCCTTCCTTCCGGAGCCTGACCCGGCCCCCGGTGGCCTCGGGGCGCTACCGGTCCTGCGCTCAGGGAGGCGGGCCGGGCGGGTGGTCCCCTACCTGACGGCCTTTTTGGCAGCCTGGCCGGGCTGTGCGGGGCGGTAGGGCAAGACACGCGGCTCCCAGTTCTCCCCGGCGGCCGCGCCGGCCCCGGGCTTCTCGCGCTCCGCTCCAGGCTGCACCGAATTGGGTCGGCGCGCCGCGTTGGTGTTGCCGCGCGGCGGCAGCTCAGCGTCCCCGGGCTGGGGCGGCCCAGGGCCGCACGGCTCCTCCACCCAGGTGACGCTGAGCAGGCTCAGAGTGAAGCCCAGGGAGATGCCCACGGCCACGGGCCCCGCCGGCCGCAGCACCGACAGCAGCAGCGACGCCCGCATGGCGCACGGACCACCGCGGGTTCCCGGCCCCGGCGCCAGCGCAGCCCCCGAGCAACCGAGGGAGGCTCCGAGGGGGGCGGGCCCGGGGAGGGGGCGGATCCGGGGGGCCCCGGACCCAGCGGGCGGGCCCGCTCCCTCCCCGCCAAGCGGAGCCCGCGGCCCGAGCCGGGTGGAAGGCGCCGCGCGCCCCGGTCCCCCTCCAGTTGCGGTTCTCCGCCCGAGCGGCCCGGCGCTCAGCGGCCCAGCCTCCGCCGCCACCGCCGCTGTCCGACGTGTCAAGGCGCGAGCTCCGCCCCCGGGGTGGGGTCTCGGGCTGCGGCTACTCGGGAGGGAGGCGGAGGGGGCGGAGGTTAAAGGGGAAGGACCCCCGGAAGTGCCCCCTCCTCAGTGCGGGAGAGGGAAACGTCGGGGGCGGGGTCTCCTGCCTCCCCCCGCGTGGTTGGTGCGTCCCGGGTGACGTCAGAGGCAGCCCGTCCCTGCGTGAATGGTGCGCTCTGGGTGACGTCAGGAGCAGAGGCCGGAGCTGTCCATCAGCACCAAAGGCCGCGGGCGGGCTCAGGGCATGGGGCCGCGGCTCCGGGGCGGCCCGAGCACCAGCTCCTGCTCCTTTCCCTGCCCCGAAAGCCTGGGCCTCCGGAACACGCGGCACTGGAGTGTCAGCCGGAGTCGGATGCTCAGCCGCGACGCCGCCGCGCAGAGACAGGTTCCTCTGGCCCAGCAGCCCCCATCCCCTCACGGTGGACTTTTCCCGGACCCCAGTCACTTGGGCCCTCGGGTGCCCTGCACCCCCAGACCAGCCGGTCCCTGCACTGCCTCTTCAGCTCAGAAGCTCAGGTCACCTCCAGCCCAGGTAGATCTTGACAATGCCAGACCTGGCCGCCCACGAGTGTCCCAGCCGCCTCCTCGCTGGTTGCCCACTGCCCTCATCTCCCCCACTCTCACTCCGTTCCCCCTTTTAAACTTCTTTACTCAGTCTTCTCTAGCCAGCTTTTCTGTCCACCTTTGTCTTTTGACAGGGATGATGCCTCCAGAGTTGCATGATGTGGGCACTCCTTTGTCCACTGTATCCTTGTTAAGTTCTCCCACTTCCACTCAGACCCTTATCTCAGTGGAGATCCAAGACGCCTCCTTGACCTCAACTTCCTCTCTGTCAGGCTGACTTGGGAGGGTGATTCCCCTCCATTCCCAGCACTATGTCGGGTACTATGGCCACGCTCCGGTTCCAGCTGCTGCCCCCTGAGCCAGATGACGCCTTCTGGGGGGCACCCTGTGAACAGCCTCTGGAGCGCAGGTACCAGGCGCTCCCAGCCCTCGTCTGCATCATGTGCTGTCTCTTTGGAGTCATCTACTGCTTCTTTGGTGAGACACCCCCTGCCCCCAATCCCTTATCTGGGCTCCCCAATGCTTCCCTGAATTATTTTTCTGGGCACTCCAATTTTTTCCCTACTCGTTTATTTACAGAATTCGAATACATTGTTTTCGAGAACAAATTCTTTCCATTTCCCTCACCCCCCCCCAATCAAGTTGTACAACCTCATGATTAATCCCCCCTCTCCATGCACATCCTCATCCCTCTGCTTCCAGCCTCTCCTACCCCTTTTGGATCCTTATACTCATTCTACAATAATGGTTTTATACAATATTTATCCATGTGGGACTGAGTTCCAATTTCTTTTGGACCACCACTACTATGAGTATTTTCCTTTCTTCACTCCACACATGCTAATAGGTCAGTTTTTTTTTAAAGCAACCCTAAAACTGATTGAACTGACCCTCCAGTGGGTTTTCAGACACTAGCAATTGCACATAAGGAGACTGCCCATTTTTATTCCTGATAGATCAAGTAGACTTTAGACTTTTGATCAAACAGACTCTAGATTTTAGAAAACACAAGTCATTTCAGTAGACTTGAGTTTGAAACTAGCTTTGAAACTTATTGTGATGCCTTGGGTACATTAACCTCAATCTCCTGGGCCTCTGTCTTCTTACCTGAACAGTGAGAACAATGATATTTGTACCATATAAGGTTGTTGTGAAAATGAACCAGCATTCAGTAAATGGAGAGCCCTGATGATATGGTCCATAGGGAGTCATGTGCTGCTAACCCAAAGGTCACATCTCTTTGGTAGTTTGAATCCACCAACTGCTCGTCAGGCGAAAGATGAGCTATCTCTGTCTATGCAATTTATAGCCTTGGAAAACCCACTGGAGGGACAGGTATGAATCATCCCAACATGACAACGATGAGTTTGAGTTTGACTATGGAGAACATAATAGTGTTTGCGTCACTGAACTAGGCAGGCACTGAAAACATTTAGTAGGATGAATAAACATAGGCCTTTGCAACAAGGATTGCTGTCTGATAGGGGGAAAATGCCGAGCATATTCACATCTGTGATACATATTAGAGTGGGCTTGATGATAGTCATACAAACAGAGTTCGCCTACAAAGCAGGCACCACTCATCAGAGCTGTGGTGGATAGTTGTACAGGGAGTGAGCTGCATGAGTGCTTAACTGAATAAGCCAGAGGAGTCCAGCAGTCAGCCCGCACTCCACTTGCTAAACTTGACCTTAGCATAGGGAGTCTTGAACCTAAAAGTAGGCTTACTGTTTTAAAATTTACACAAAGGTCCCATAAAGGATAGAGACAGTTTGGAGTAAGCTCCCAGTGATGCTACATTAGGGGCGTGAATTCTCTGGAATACTCAAACACTTACTGCCTTCAAGTCTGAACTGACTCATAGCTGATCCTCCAGTGGGTTTTCAGTGGCTGTAAATAGCATGAGGTTGCCCATGTTTCTCTTGAGGAGCAGCTGGGACCTTTGGGTTGGTGGTGCCTTCCTTGCCCACTAGGCCACCAGACCTCCAATGTATTGCTCTCAGGTTGGAACTGACTCATTGTTGACAGACTGTCCATCTGGTTTTTAGAGGCTGTAAATGGCTCAGGAGGAGATTTCCCCATCTTTTTCCATGGGGTAGCTGATGGATTCATACTGTCTGCCTTTGTGTTGGTAGCACAACCTACTCACTAGGTCACCAAAGCTCACTATGGGATAAAGACCCAAATTAGGGGCTTCTAAGAGCATTGCGGGCAAAGGAGATAAAGGAGAGAGGGAGTTTTGGGCTTCAGACTGTGCAGAGGTGGCACAAAACTTGTGCTTTTCAGCCTCCACTGATCCCACCACCCAGAATGGTTGAGGAGGCAGGAATGGAAGCCAGATGGCCCCCCTGCTTCCACCTCCAAACTCTGGGCTGAACAACTGCAGGGTGGGTGGGAATATGTTCCCCTAAGGCTTTGGGATGTGTTTTGGGCCCCGATGGCATCTGTATCACATCACCCCTTCCTCTTCATATGTCTGTACCCACTCCCTCTGCATGGCGCTCTGTGCAGCCTCTCAGTCCCTCTCCCTGCTCCATGCCCCAGGTCTCCTGGAGGACTCGGAGTTGTTGTTTACACCCTACACTTTTACAGATCAGGGTCTGCTGGACCCTGATCCTTTCCCTCATTTCTGGAACTGATTTTCATCTTTATGACCTTTATTGTTGGCTCTCTCTGACATACCATCTGTATGTAATTTCCATCTTCCCAGTGTCTCAGCATCCACACCTCCATCACCTTACAGGTACTGACACCATTTGTCCTATAACTTCCTTTTTAAATTTTTTTTTAAACTCCATAACCACCATTTTCTCTAGTGGACTTTTTCTCATAATTCCCTTGACTCCCCATGACCTCTTGTAAGCCTCTCACTCTCGTTGCTGTCAAATCAGAATGGACTCATAGCTGACCCCCCAGATCGTTTTCAGAGTCTAAAAACTCAGAAATCACATGAAAGGAGACTGTCCATCTTTCTCCATGGAGCAGCTCTTGGATTCGAACCACCTGCCTTTGGGTTGGCAGCACAACTCCTTACCTACTAGGCCACCAGATGGCTCTCTAAACCTTCCCCCATCATTCCCAGCCATCCTTCATTCCCCCTCTATTACTTCTATCCCCAGTCTCTGTTTATTCCCAACTCTCTGATCTCTGTGACCCCACTGTCTGACCTCCACTCTCCCACCATGTCTCTTATGTCCCCATTTCTCTGGCCTCATGTTCTCCTCTCAGAACCCCCTGACTACTCTGAATGAGTTCACCTCTGTCCATCCTTCTGGCCTTCAGAGACCTCATCTGTCAGAACTCCTCCCCAAGAACCTTGCTTCTCTGTTCTCGTTCTTCTTAGAAATATTATTTGTATTTAATTTTTTATTGTGTTTTGAATGAAAGTTTACAGAGCAAAATGGTTTTCCAGACAACCATTCACAGACTAATCATAATACCCACATTGTAACTGGACTCTTGCCCTTTTCTCGAACCTTCCAATGACTCCATCTCTCTGAACCCCTACGACTGTCCACACACTTAATCTCTGAATTCTCTCCCCAAAGATTCCAATGCTGATCCTTCCACTACTCCAACAGCTTATCTCTCTGATCTGTATGACCCCAAAGACCCCAAGGACCCTATCACCTTTTACTTTTGGCTTCAGTGATTTCTCTCTGCCCCATGAAAGACCCCAGTCCTCCTAATGGCTCTTTTCCCATTGCCTCATTTTGCTCATCTCTTAAGTCAGTGCCCCAACACTGACGCCCCCATGACTACGATGACCCTCACTTTTCTGACCTTGGCTTCCTTGCCTCTTGATTCCCCCATCTCCTCCCTCTGGCCTGGTGTCTGCACATCGGCCTTCACTAGCCCCTGTTCCCCTCTAGGTTACCGCTGCTTCAAGGCCGTGCTCTTCCTCACGGGTTTGCTGTTTGGCTCGGTGGTCATCTTCCTGCTGTGCTACCGAGAGCGGGTGCTGGAGACGCAGCTGAGCGCGGGGGCGAGCGCGGGCATCGCGCTGGGCATCGGGCTGCTCTGCGGGCTGGTGGCCATGCTGGTGCGCAGCGTGGGCCTCTTCTTGGTGGGGCTGCTGCTGGGCCTGCTGCTCGCCGCTGCCGCCCTGCTGGGCTCCGCCCCGTACTACCAGCCGGGCTCCGTGTGGGGCCCGCTGGGGCTGCTGCTGGGAGGCGGCCTGCTCTGTGCCCTGCTCACGCTGCGCTGGCCTCGCCCGCTCACCACCCTGGCCACGGCCGTCACTGGTGCTGCACTCATCGCCACTGCTGCCGACTACTTCGCCGAGCTGCTGCTGCTGGGGCGCTACGCCGTGGAGCGGCTGAGGGCCGCCCCGGTACCCCCACTCTGCTGGCGGAGCTGGGTCCTGCTGGCACTCTGGCCTCTGCTCAGCCTGATGGGCATCCTGGTGCAGTGGAGGGTGACAACCGAAAGGGACTCCCACACAGAAGGTGAGAGGGCACAGGCCGGGGCTGGGACCACAGGGGGACAGAGGCCTCAGTGGGGTCAGGCAGCTAACTCAGGGGACAGAGGCCTCAGTGGGGTCAGACAGCTGACTCCCTCAGGACCTGCAAAGCCAGGACAACAAATAGCCCTCAGGCTCTGGGCTGACCCCTATGCAGGCACCAGGGACCCAGCAGATAAAACACCCAAGACTCCTGTCCTGATGGATTGGGACTTGGGGAGAAGACAGACATGTAAACATGTATATGTTTGACAGGACATGACAACAACAGCGTGTGTGTGTGTGTGTGTGTGTGTGTGTGTGTGTGTGCAAGCGCGTGTGCATATTAATACTGCTGATGTATGTGAGCACATATAAACAGTACAGCCATGGAAACAAATGGGACAATTCCCATTGTGTGGAGTGACATGAAAGAGGCACAGAATAGGGGGAAAGAGTGACCTATTACCGGTAGGGTGGTCAGTGGAGGGCACCTTCAGGAGGGACTTTTAAGCAGGGATCTCAAGGATAAGGACTCAGCCGTGCAAACGAAGAGGGCATGACAAGGGCGGGGGTCCTGAGAAAGGAACGGGTTGCCTTGCCTGAGGTCGTAGGGATGGAGGGTAGTATGTGACGGACAGGAGGCAGGCTTATCGTCTGGTTCCCCTAGGCCAGGACGAGGACTCTGGGGTTTATTGGAAAGGCACTGAGAAGCCATCAGAGGGTTTAAAGCAGAGGAGGAAAGAGTCCTGTTTAGCTTCTCACTTCCGCTACTGCATAGAAAGGATTAGAGGTGGCAAACAGGAGGGGGAACCCAGTAAGGGAAGAGCTCTAGTGGATGAGTCGAGGGATGAACTGGTCCAGGTGAGTTACCTGGAAAAGGGGTAATAGCTAGAGGAGGTGCCGGGGGTCCTGGGATCTTCCATAAAGTGTTTCAAAGACAGGGTCAAGTGCAGGGAGTACCATCTGGGATGTAGGCATCCAGGAAAAGAGGGGAGGCCTGCACAAAGGGAGTTTGGAGCCCAGGTAGAGAGATGGTGGCCTGGGGAGATGAGGCCTGCAGGCCTCTGAAACATCTGTTCCCCCTGTCCTCTTCAAGTGGTCATCAGCCGGCAGCGACGACGTGTGCAGCTGATGCGGATTCGGCAGCAGGAGGAACGCAAGGAGAAGCGACGCAAGAAGAGACCTCCACGGGCCCCCCCCAAAGGTCCCCGGGCCCCTCCACGGCCTGGACCCCCTGACCCTGCCTATCGGCGCAGACCTGTGCCCATCAAACGCTTCAACGGAGACATCCTCTCCCCGGTGAGCAGCTGGTTGGGCTCTGTCCAAGGCGGGCTGGCCTCTTTGAGGGGCTGGTCACTGTCCAGAAGTAGCCTAGGGTTGGCACCCCATTGTCACCCTATACCAGGAGCCTGGTGGGCCTGGTTCACACTAGGGAGGTGTCCTGAGTATGAGTTTTAAATGGGGCGGGGGGTGGAGCCTTGGGAAGTGAACTTTGGGTATATGGTGGGGTCTGGATCTGCTGCTGTCTGGGGTCTTGGGTTTGTGGGGTGCAGGGGCAGGCTGACTCTGCCTGCTGGCATTACAGGCAGGGTCTGCGGTGGGGCTCACACAGTTGTGCTTTCTCCCCCAGAGTTACATCCAGAGCTTCCGGGACCGGCAGACAGGAAGCTCCCTGAGCTCCTTCATGTCTTCACCCACTGATGCAGACTATGAGTACGGGTCCCGGGGGCCGCTGACAGCCTGTGCAGGGCCCCCTGTGCGTGTATAGCAGGACAGATGCTCCCCATCTGCTCAGACTCATCAGTCACCAGCTCTGCCGACCAGCCCTGTGGCCCCTGGCTGTCCCCTCCTTGGTCTGGTTGTGAGAAGAACACCAGCCTCAGGCCTGAGGAGACAGCGCCCTCCCGAGCTCCCAGGGGGCACCTAAGGGGTGTGAGGTGTGAGCCCCATTGGGGTGTGCTCAGGGTTGTGAGTGTGTTGCCTGTGGACATAAGTGTGGATGGGGCCGGCCTGGAGGGCACACTGGGACCCTGGCCTTTTTCTGATTGGTAGGGCTTCTCCATGGCCAGCCCGCCGTCTCTCACCTGCTGGGGCCAAGGGCCACCCTCCTGCATGTCAGCATGGAGGCGGCCTGCCTTCCCCTACCATCACCTGCCTCAACCAGACTCTCCATCTGGGGGTTCTCGTCCTTGTCAATGGGGCCGGCTGCGGTGCCCCCTCCCCCGGGTCGCCTGTCCTCTGCAAAGCCACCGGCCCCCGAAGGCAGGGGATGGGGTGGAGGGTCCTGGGCTGGGAAGGGGGGCTGGAGGGTTCAAGCGCACGGTGCATGTCTGGTGTCTGTCATGCCACCCTGGACACCTCATGCTTCTGTCCCAGCCCCCTGCTCCCCTGTCCTCCTCTCTTTTACATCTTTTATAAATGTGCCAAACTGCATGGCCTCTGCCAGGAGTAATGGTCTTCGGCGGCTGCCACTGCCGGGAACCAGGATGTGAGCCCAGCATCCCCGACTCCTGTGTGTCAGGTGCAGGGGCTCTGAACCCAGCCTTCTCACATCACACAGAGGCGGGACAGAGGCTGTACGTGTTTATTGTCTCCCACCCTGCTGGCTCTCCTACCGTCCCCACCCTGCCCCTGCACTGGGTAAAGGCCTCTCCTTCCAAGCTGTTGGGGTACCGCCCAGCTGGCTTCAGTCTTCCTAGTTCCCTGCAGAGGAATGGCTCCACGTGGGCCATGGAATAATGCTCCCCTCTTCCCCAACAGAGCCTGGACACCCACAGGGGAGGAGCTGGCCTTTACCCTCTGCCCATCTTGTCAGGGCACCCAGGTCTGTCTGGAGGAGGGGTTGGGAGCCTGGGACCAGGTAGGGAGGCAGCAAGGCCCAGCAAAGATGGGGGGTGGAGGGTGGGACATAGCATGGGGTGGAAGAGGAAAGAGAGGACACTGGGACAGTACTCTGCCCAGGCTGGTGTGTAAGTCACTAGGATGGGCAGACACCAGCTGGGCAGAGGAGGGCAAGCTGGGGAAGGATAATGGGCTGGGAAGAGAACTAGGGTAGAAATGAGGTGGGATGGGCTCGGGACAGACAAATAGGGGCCAGGACCAGTATAGGAAAGGAGGCTTGGCTAGCCTATAAACAGGGATCTCTCTCCACCCTCAGCCCTGGGTGTCATCTCCCCCAGCGCCTCCCCCAACACACCCCAGAACAAACCTTCCTCCCAAATCCCCGCAAAGCTTCTGCAGATGGGTCTCAGCCCACCAGACGGCCCCTCCTTCCCCTCTGACTATGCAGGCGCCTTCACTCACCCTCCACCAGCAGCTGGGTGTAGGCGCTGTCCTGGCCGGCCTGGCAGCAGTAAGTGCCCCGGTCCTCGGGTCGCACGTCATGGATGACCAAGCTGTGGGTGGGGCCGTGGCTGCGCAGCTCATACTTGTCTCCGGGGCACAGCTCAGCCCCCTCCCGCCGCCAGCACACGTGGCCCCCGGAGCGGGACACAGTCACCTCCAGCACTGCCCGGCGGCCAGCCAGAACTGTCTTCTCGCGAGGGGGGCGGCGGCACATCTGGAGAGGCAGTGCTGGGGTGGGGGTGGGAGCAGAGGCTCACTTACAGGACGCAGACCTTGCGACCTTCTCTTTGGAATGCCCGCTGCTTTACGCCACCAACTCCCTTCACCAGCACCTTCAACCCACATCTTTCCCTTCCCACCTCCGTCCCAGGATGCACGCTGCCCTCTGCAACATGCCCTCGAGGGGCGAGTAAGAAGGCATCGCTCCCAGGACCCACCACCAACGGCAGACCGAGGGCCAAGGGTGATGGCCACTCCCTTCTGCACCTGCCCCAGGGGCTTACCCTCCACCTCCAGCTGGGCAGTGGACTGGGCGGGTCCCGCCTCGAAGCGGACTTCTCCCGTGTCCTCCTCGCGTAGCTCGCTCAGCACCAGCATGTGTTTCTTCCCTGGGAGTGATGGGGACGCTAGCGAGGCCGAAGTTGCCCTAGGAAGGGCTGGAGGCGGGGGGGCTCCGGGCCGGTCTCTGGGTGGCCCGGGTGGGCCCGGCTTGCGCCAGGGCGGGCGGCATCGGGAGGTCTACAGGGAGGAGGAGTGGCCCCGCAGCAGGCGCAGAGCCAGGGGGTGGGGAGGACCAGAGAAGAGCTTGCGCGCCAGGGGCGGAGCTTATTCGGCAGGAGGCGGTGCTTAACATTATGGGGCGGAGCCTGCCTAAAGGCTGGATGCCCCAGGTCAGGGTCTCAGAGGAGGGGAAGAGAATCAGCCAAACCTTCTTGTCGGATGCGGACTCGGCCTCCCGGCTTCAGCTTGCGGCCTCCGAGCTGCCAGAGCCCCGTGGTCTCGGCCTCCGAAACCGTGCACTCGAACGTGGCGCCGTCGCCTTCCCGGGCGCGCACCGACTGGAGCTCGGTGATGACCGCCACGGTGCGCTCTAGGGCAGAAGCCAGGTGTGAGGAGGCGGGGCCAAGGCAGCATCCGGTCACGCCCCCTCTCGGAAACACCCCTTAGCCGCGAGAAAGCGGTGACCACCGTCCCATCAGTGCCCCGCCGTAATGCCCCTACCCACCGCGCACAGCGAGACAGACTGGCCCGGCGCGAACCGTGCCAACTGCGCAGCTGTAGGTCCCGGCATCTGAGGGGCCGCAGCGCCGCAGCTGCAGAAGGCGGCGCACTCCGAGGGCCTGTAACCTGATTCGGGGACTGGCAGCAAGCACGCGACCGTCCTAGGGGCGGGAATGGCACAGAGTGGGTGCCCTATAAGGCAGAGGCGCCCTCTCTTCGTGCAAAGCTACGTCTAGGAGCTTTTTATGCTCATCTTGTTACTATAAATTAGAATTGACTTGAAGGCAACGAGTGGGTGTGTGTCCCCAAGCTGAGGTCTTTTGCCAAGGGTTGGTCCACCAGCCATGGGCCAACCTGCTCCTTTAGGACCAAAGCGGGAGGCTCTCAGAGATGTCACCCTGCAGCCTTAGCAGAGCCACCTCGGATGCAGGAAGGCAAGAGTCATGCCCTGAAGGCACCGGTTGGGAGCCAGGATGCTGGAGTTAGGCAAGCCTGAATTCAAACATAGGCTCTACCTTTGCTGTCTACCCTCTTGCTTTGTGCAAGTGACTTTACAGCACCGAGCCTGTTTCCTCATTCATAACATGATGATAATCAGTGAAGTCATCATCGAGAGATGAAGGTGGATCCCACTTCCTCAAACAGTCCAGGGTCTGGGGAGGCAGGAGAGCTGGTGCTCCAAGGTGAGGGCTGCCTCGGCACTAGCAATAGGGCTGGTGATACCCATCACTTGGTGCAGTAAACTCATCACTGCCTCCTCCTGGGTCATCCCCAGTGAAGGCCCAGGGCCCACTGTTGGGTGAGGAAGAGGGTCTTCATTTTGGCCAGTAGGAGAGGGAAGGAGCTATGGGAAGGGAGACCCAGTCACTCCACCCACCATGTTTGCTGGCTGTCCCAGCCATTAAGAGGGAAGGTGACGTTATCCTAGTGAGTCACCGGTGATAAAAAGACTACCTCAGAGGGAGGTTGTATGGATCAAAGAAGTAAAAGTGACATGCACTTAGCAAGTGCTGGACACACTGCTTCACGAGTGTTCATTGTTCTTGTTTGGGGTCTTCCTGGGCTGGGGCTGGACTCTGACCTTCTCCCAGGTGACATCTGCCAAGGTCTGGGAAAGCTCGCACTCAAACGTAGCTGTGTCACCCTCAGTCACCTCAAGGTCCTGCGGACCCCTCACGATGGTCACTGGGGCCTCTGGAAGGGGGAGAAGGAAGAAGTACAGAGAGAGAGAGAGCAGGGGTAAAGGGCAGCTGGGGACACAGCTCACAGAGACGAGGACACACAGGCACAGTGGTGGACACAAGTGGGGACATGCCGGGCTATGTGGTCCCTGAGGATGCAGGCGATGAGAGTGGCCAGCTGGCGGGTTAGTGAGGGGCATGCTGTATCTAGAAGGGTTGGGGGGAGAATGGCTCGTGGAGGCCAGTGGGTCAAGGGCAGACATGGGAGTGGGGGCCACGCCTGCTGAAATGAAGAGCAGGAGACATACTGTCAGTGGGTGGGGGGCACAGTGAGTTCAGAGGGGCAGTCAGTGGACACTGAGGTGTGGTCATTGGGGAGCACGAACAGGGGAGACTGGGGCAGAGCCTCTAAGCCAGGAAGTGGACCACAGGCACGGGAGTGGTCACATGCAGGCAGACTGCGTGTACATGAGGCCACACTCTGGTCAGTGGGCGGTGCTATGGAAAGCAGATGCAGAGCTCATGCTGACACAGGTATGTCCACAATGGCTGGTCACTGAGAGTGTTAAGAGGGCCACAATCAAGCAGGGTTGCCTCTGGGCTCAGGAAATCCCAGTCCAGCAGCGAGATCAGTGAGAGCCACGCTTGGACAGGCATGGTCAGTGGGGACACTCGGTCAGCAGGCAGGGTCCCAGGGCCCCACCTTTCACAGTGAGTTTGGCTGCACAGCGCAGGGAATCCGCAGTGAAGGAAATGCAGCCTGAGTCTGCCAGGCCTAGGCCGCTGAGCTCCAGGCGGTGGCTGTGGCCCTCCGCGTGAATGTGGCACTTGGGCCCTGGCTGCAGGCGGACTCCGCCCTGGGCCCACTCCCCAGCCACGCCCTCCTGGGACAGCTCCAGCTGGAAGGTGGCGGTGCCCCCCTCGCTAATGGTCACATCCTCCAGAGGTCTCAGAGCTCTCAGCTGCTTTGCTGGGGGGTGGGGAAGAGGGGAGAAAGGGAGGATGAGAGCTCCAGCCCAGCCACCCCTTAGCCCTGTGTATACACCCCCTGTTCAACCTGTCCCTGGGAGTTCAGAACCAGAGTGCAGGAAGAAGGGAACTCAGCATTTTGGGCTGAGGAGAGGGAATGGGTAGGGGGTTAGGGCTGTGACACACACTTAAGAAAGAGCGCAGACTGTGGACTCAGGCCCATCTGGAGTGAATCTTGACTGACACATTATCTATGTGCTGTGTGACCTTTAGCAAACAACTTGACCTCTCTGGGGTTTACTTTCTTGTATAAGATAAATAAGGTCAAGATATGTATTTATTGTGAAGAATAAATGAGCAGAGAATACCACCAGCAAGGACCCTTTACGAGGCTATATGTGGGCATTTTTTGTGAATTATCTCAATTACATCAGCCCTTGATTTTGAAAGGACCTGGCTCAGAGAGGTTAAGTAACTTGCATGAAGTCACCCAGCTAATGGTGAGAGCTTCAATTTTGGGGGCAAGAGGGTGCTACTTGCTGATTACTCTGCTTCACAAATGGCCCTGTGAATCCCTGAAGGTAGAGGATAAACACGGCAGGGCTCTGTGGAGTGGAGCATTTCCATTTATAACAAAGCCACTTAGGAACAGGTAACAGAATGTAGAATCCACATGGACGTCAAAGGTGAAGCAAAACTATTAGAAAAGGCTAAGTTTTGCTTTGGGTGGGCAGCACTGGGATGCAGCTGTGGACTAGGATGACCAGACGGACTTTTCTTGGGCTCGAGGGGCACTTTGGTGGGGCTTGAGGGGCTCTGGAGCAGCTGGGCAGGGCAGTGCCGCAGATGGGTGATGCACTGGGTGTGGACAGGGCACTCACGCCTCACGCTGAGCCTGGCCAGGGTGCGATCGTGGCGGCTCTCGCAGCCGTAGGTGCCCTGGTCAGCCAGCAAGATACCACGGATGAAGAGGCGGTGGATGTGGCCATCCTGGGCCACAGACAGGCGGGCATCGTGGGGTAGGGACTCGCCACCACGCAGCCAGCGCACGGCCCCGGTCTCGGCCACCCGTCCTGTCTCCACCTCGAGGCACACATCCTGGCCTTCCTCCACCCTCACGTCCTGCAGCCGTCGTAGGAAGAGCAGCTCAGCCTCTGGGGAGGTCAGGGGAGGGGAAGGCCATGGGGCCTGGGGCCGGGACCCTCCTTGCCATTTCCCTGCTGTGTCCCCAGGCAGATGACCAAGGAGGGGAGTACAGGAGTGGGGAGCAGCCCATTGCACCCCTCCCAGGACCAACCTCGAACATGGAGCCGGGCACTGGTGGCCGTGTCCCCTGCCTGGGCAGTCACAGTCCCTGCATCCTGGAGGCAGCAGCCTCGAATGGTCAGTGTGTGGCTTGAACCATGCTGGACGACCTCCAGTTGGGGCCCTGGACTGATAATGGCCCCGTTGCGCAGCCAGGTGACCTCAGCGTCTGGTGGTGAGACTTCACAGCGGAATGTGGCATCATCGCCCTCATGAACCGTTAGTGGTGTCAGCTCTGAGACCAGCTTCACCGGTGGAGGTTCTGGGGACAGAGCAAAGGGTGAGAAGCCTGGTCTCCCCTCTTTCCTCTGCATCCCCTCCTCGGACCCACTCTCTTCCTCAGCACACAGGTCTTAGGGACTTCTGTGTGTCTGTCCACCATGAAAGGACATGATGCCACTCTCTGACCTAGCACCCCCTTCTGGTGCCCTAATAATAGTACATCAGCATCACAGCGTTTACGTGTTTCAATAGCCCCACGCATGCACTACATCCCATTTCAGAGCTGGGGCTCAGAGAAGTGAAGAAACTTTTTAGACTCCATATAACGACTGGGTACTTGACTCCAGATCTGAGTCTGCTCTGATCTGCGGGGGGTCCACTCTGAGAGGAACTCTGGCGGCACACTTGGTAAGGGTTAGTCTGCAAACTGAAAAGTTGGCAGTTCAAACCCATTGGCTGCTCCTGGGAGAAAAAACAAGCCATCTCCTCCCATGGAGATTAGCAGTCTTGGAAGCCCAGTAGAGGGTCGCTATGTGTCTAAACTGACCTGGCAGCTGTGTCTCTGGGTTTGGTCAGGTCAACTCTAGGGACTGGGGTTAGCTCCCAGGATTATGCCTCCTCCTATCTGAGGGTCATGGAAAGGGACCTCCGAGCCCCCTGTGAGTGTTACTGGGAGATGCATACATTGGAGTCAGAGGCAGGGAGGAAGAGGTGAGGGGGTACAGAGTGGGACATGGTCCTCAGGGGTGTCAGGATCCATGGTTTTGGGGTGCACTGTTACCTTCCACTGTGACGAGGAAAATGCGGCTGTCCTGGGGTGTGTCGCACAGGTACTCCCCCGAGTCCCCTCTCCGTGCCCCCCGCACCCGCAGCACCTGCCGGCCCCCGACCTGCTCCAGCAGTACCCGACCCTGGCTTGCCAGGCGCTCCCCATCCTTGTACCAGCGCACGGGACCCCCCGGCCTGGAGAGGTGCACCACCAGCTCCAGGTCCCTGCCTGGGGCGCTGCGGACCCTCGTCTGGGCTGTATCAGGGGCTACCACCTGCACAGGGGGTTCTGTGGAGGGGGAGGAGGGATGGGGGAACAGTGCTGAGTGAGAGGTGGGATGAGGGATGGATGTGGCATGCTAGACAAGTGGGGAGACCCATGGGGTCTGGGGTACTGCTCTCATAAACTCACCAGCCACCTGGACGGTGAAGCTGAGGCTGGGGGCCCCCGGGGCTGCCCCGCTCTGGCATGTGTAGAGGCCGGCGTGGGCCTGGAGGGCAGCCCGGATGCACAGGGCTCTGCGGGGGCCCTCTGCCCAGAGCTTCAGGCCCTCATCCTCCTGCAGGGGCCTCCCGTTGTGGCTCCAGAGCACAGGGGCGCTGGCCCGTGACAGCTCACAGCTCAGCACCACTGGCTCCCCGGGGGCCACGCAGAGCGGGCCGGGGGCTGTCTCCGGGGCCAGGAACTGCACCGGGGGCTCTGAACAGAGAGGAGGATGCGTGAAGCGAGAATCTGAGTTTGTGACTGCAAGGTCTCTGATCCTCTAAGCAACCCTTCGCAGCAGAAGGGGTGGAGTTATCAGTTCTGTTCAGTTGAGAACACAAAGGCCCAGAGGGGTTAATGGCCTCTTCGCAGCCATGCTGACAGCTTTAATGCATGTCTTACTTAGGGCCCAGGTGTTGGCTGGGAAATTGAGCCCATTGCTTTATTTCTCCTCTGGGTCCCTCACTGGTTGTGCCCCTTTCTCCTTTTTCTATTGGTGTGTGTCATCAAGTCAGAACTGAGCCATGGCTGACCCTCCAGTGGGTTTTCAGAGGCAGTTAATCACATGGGAAGAGACTGCTCATCTTTCTCCTGAGAAGCAGCTAGTAGATTGGGATTGTAGTGCAGCTTCTTACCACTAGGCCACCAGAGCTCCTGCCTTCCTTTAGGGCCAGATAACAACACCAGATAACAAAGACACCACAGTGGGTGACACTAAACGCAGAGTGAGCAGGCTGGATCAAGGACAGGAGGGACAGGCCTGTGACTAGGGTTGCAGTGGGTGGGAGGGGCTTAGGAGCCTGGCTGTCCCCCACTGTCCCAAGCCCGGCTGGCCAGGAGCACCCACCAGCCAGGTTGACGTTGAAGGTGACGGCCTCATCGCGGGTCTCACACACGTACTCCCCGGCGTCCTCAGGTTGGGCTTGGGGCAGGGTCAGGGTGCGTGTGGAGCCCTCGGCACCCAGCTGCAGGGTGTCTGAGACTTCCACCTCCAGCCCATCCTTGTACCAGCGCACCTGTGACCCAGCTGGGGCCACCTCGCAGCGCAGCTCCACGCGCCCGGGAGCCCAGAACTGCAGATCCAGGCTGCGAGCTGCTGGGTGTACTATCCTCTCTGGGGGGGCTGTGGAGGACAGAGGGAGGGGGTGTGAGCTCGGCCAGTTTACCTCTCCCTGTCTCCCCCCATTCATTCTCAGCCCCTAACACCAAGGCTTCCTTGGATCTCAGGACCAGGACAAGCTCTGATCCCAGATGAGTGCTGGGCACCAGGTGCTGGTGTACCAGGGGCTCGCAGCAGCTCTTCCCTTGGTGCTTCCAGACCACTCCAAGGACAGGGTGACAGCTGCCTCCACTTTCAGATGAAGATACTGAGCCGCTTTAGAGGGGACTGGCTTGCCCAAAAGGATCACTGGTCAGGCCATTAACCAAATGGTTGATAATTCAAAACCACTGGGCCCTTTGGACAGTCTCCTCCAGCAGAGATTTACAACCTCAGATGGAAGGGCCACTGAATGAACTTGATGGCAGTGGGTTTGGTGTGGGTTTGACTTGCCTGTGGTGCCACAGATGAAGCGAGACACGGACCCACCCCCAGACCCATTTGTGCTCCCATGGGCACGCCCTGTGTGGTTTACATGCTTTTGTACCAACAAACTTTTTTGTTGTAACCTCTGTGAAGACAAAAGGTCCTGTCTCATTGGTTCATTGCTATAGCCCCCAAGGAGTACCTGTTCTGTTGTGCCACAGTTAAGTGTATGGCTGCAAATTGAAAAGTTGGTGGTTTGAACCTACCTTTGGGTTCCACAAGCTGGTCCCCTAGAGCTAACAGGCTAGGAGACCAAATGGGACAGTTCTAAGGTCACATGGGTGCAGTGTGAGTGTCCTGCTGACATCTAATAAGAACTGCAGTCCCAGCCTCTAGCACACAGTACTGGCTCACTAAGTGTCCGCTGCGTAACAGAAGGAATGCAGGAACAGCTGGGATCTCTCCCACCAGACTTAAAATCACTGCTCCAACTTGATGGGGGCTTCCTGGGAGCTGAGAATGAGGAGGCTGGGGTGGGGAAGGTTTTGGCGGGGGGTATAGTTGTGGGAAGTGGGGGGAGGACATGGGTCTCTGCCTCTATACACACACACACACACACCCCGCCCCTCCGGGTGTCCAGAGACTTCCCACCTGTGACGGTGACAGTGAAGAAGGCTGAGTCGTCGCCGGCATCACACACAAACTCGCCCGAGTCCCCGGGCTGGGCAGCAGGCAGCACCAGGCGGCGCCGGGGCCCGTCGCTCTCCAGGACCAGGCCCTCGCTCTCCTCCACCTCCAGCCCATCTTTGTACCAACGCACGGGGGCATCATCCCGAGACAGCTCGCACAGCAGGGTCACACACTCTAAGCTCACAGCGACCAACGTCACCTCATCCCGGGGGTGTAGGATCCTCACGGGGGGCTCTGCAGTGGGGGCAAACACAGCTGTCATCAATTCGCCATCCTCTTCCCCACAGGCACATGTTAACAAAAGTAATGATAAAAATAATAAGACCTCAGACGGTGCTGGAAACTTGAGGCCAGGTGTGCAGAAGCCAGACTGTTCCAGAGTCGAGAAGGTGGACAGTCATCATGCACACTGCCACCCTCAGCCCCAGTAGACACCCATGTTAGGTCACGTGAATGCAGCGTAATGAACAGACAGTCACCCTGGGCAGGAGTAAACTAAGAAATAGAGATGAAAGAGGGAGCTCTGGTGACCTAGTGGTAAAGAGCTGCACTGCCAACCCAAAAGTGCACAGTTCAAATCCACCAGCTGCTCTGAGGGAGAAAAATGGGCAATCTCTCCACTTTGTGTGGGCAATCCTCCCCCACCCCACTTCCTGTGACGTTTCAGCCTCTGAAAACCCAGTGGAGGATTAGCTGTGAGTTGGTTCTGATGTAATGGGACATAACAATTAAAGGGTTTATCATAGCAGTTAATACTTGGGTTTTACCAAAATGACTTTACATACTAAGCTTTTAAGAAGCCTTTTTTTAAAGAGCCTTTTGGTTTTGAGACCTTTTGGACTTGGGCATTGTGGATAAGGGACTGTGGATCTGCCATGGCGAAGAAGCCCTACTGGCGCAATTGAAGTGCTTGGCTGCATCCACCCCCATAGGAGACAGACCTGGTGATGTGCACCCATAAAAAATGACCACCCAGGGAGTCCTAGCCGGCAGCTCTACAGCCATTGAGGATCACTACAAGTTGGAATCAGCTTAGTGGCACATAACCACAGCAAACGTTTACTCACTGCTTCCGGAGGCACCAGGGAAGCCCTATGCACATTACTTCCGTTAACCCGCTCAATCCTGACAACCACCTTGTTGTTCTTGGTTGCTATCCAGGCAGTTTCGACACTAGGCAATCCCACGTGTTAGAGGAGGTCTGTGCTCTGCAGAGCTTTCAACGGCTGTGATCTTGTTTTTTATTTTATTATTATTTTTTTTTTGGCTGTGATTTTTTAGAAGCAGACAGCCAGACCTTACTTCCAAGTTGCTTCTGGGAGGGTTTGAATGCCAACCGTTCGCTTAGCAGTCCAGTGCTTAATGGTTTGCACCACCTAGACACTCCTCTAGCAACCCTTGGAGGTATGCATTGTTTTAGCCTCATTTTCCAGATTTGGAAACTGAGGCTGAGTGTCTCAGCAGCTGCCTTGATGTCACAGGTGTTCACACTCCCTCTAGGGCAGGGAGGAGAAACCACATCTATTAAAGGCAGCTGGGCCTGCGGCAGGGGTGGGGATGACCAAGGCTTCTCATGATCGCCTCATCTGTGCCTGCGAAATGCTAACACCTGTCTGATGGCTCCCTAGGGGGGCTAACCCCACTCCAGGAGTTCATCTCCAACTGTTTGAAGGTGCTCACCCCTCCACCAAAAGACAGCCGGGTCAACACTTGCAGTGTTCAGTACACAGAGCCCCTAGCCTGCTGGCCCTCCCACCTTCTCCGATGTCCAGCACAGTCCAGAGCCCGTGGATGTTAGTGCTCCTTTAGCCTCATGCCTCCTTGTGGCTGGGTTAGGGAACTGCAGGATCCCCGGTCACGGCTGGCAGGGCGCGCGCATGAGCAGAATGTCCACACGGGCTCAATCAAACCTCCGCCCACCTTCGGCTGGCAGACCACGACCCCCACCTGCCCACCTCGGCTTGTCTTAAGAGTCTGGAGGCTCCAGCCTGGTACTTTGGGACTCACCAGGTCCCAGGGATTGCAGGATGCTGGCTGGCTGAGGTGTAGGGCAGGTGATGGGGGGCAGTGGGTGAGGGTAGGGTGCAGCCCTGGGATCTTACCTCGACCTGCTACCACAGTGGCCTGTGTGAGTGGCCCCCATGAAGAGCCTAGTGTTTTCTGGGAAGGCCAAGTGTGGGCTGGGACTTGTGTGGTTGCGGCCTTGATGTCTGGACAGGGTTTGGACAGGAAGAGGATTGAAGGTGATTCACTCTGGCGGGAACACGTGCAGAGGGGCCTTTGTGGGCTGTACCTGCCAGGCTGTACTCTGAGGCATGAGGCATGGCGGGTCCCTCAGACGTCCAGTCTAGGGCCTTACTCCTAGGACAGGGTGGAGGACTGGGGGCTAAGACTGCTCAGCAGATGGACACTTGGGCAGTCATGGGGTTCTTCTGTGTCATTCAGAGCTGCCTGGGTCTCCCCACCACCCCAACAATGGAATGGGCGCCGAGGGCTGCAGTCTAGAAGTTTCCAGCACCGGGTACTTCTGCTTCCAGAGCTGTCCTGCACTGTTTTCACCTGGAACATCCTATTTGCTACCATCACTCCTTCTACTGGGCCAGTCCAGCTGTGCCCTACATACCAGCTTTGAAGGCACTTCCTGTCACTTCAACCAAGTCAACAGCCCCATCTCACCCCACTACAACCCTCGAGCCACACCTGAGGACTCACTGCTGTGTCTGGCTTTCTGGAGGAGCGCTCCAGGAAGGAAGGGTGGCTGGCTGGCTGGCTGCAGTGTCATGGCCTGGTGGGAAGCGGTGGCCTCGGGCAAGCCCTCCCTGCCCTCTCCTGCTCTGCTCTCTCCAGCCCTCTGCCTCTTCCTTTACAGCACTTGCCACGAGGTGTTACCAAACCTTTATTTGGGCGTTTATTGGTTAACATTAACATAGGGTTGCAAACTCAAATGCTTGAGAGGGCCTGGGGCGTGTGGTCGGTGGCCGAAGAGAGAGCACAGGAGTGGCGGGGAGGGCGGGGGCTGTGGAATGTGGGCCCCAGCTTGGGGTTGAGGGGGGCAGCTGCTACTCAGTGCCAGCTGTTCTTCGCCAAGGGGGAAAACGGGCCCAGAGCCGGCGGGTCTTCGGCTTTTTCAAGAGGACGCATATATCCGGACTGTTATCTGAACTGTCCTGATTTTTGTAAGACTCTGCAGGGCAAACACAACGTCTGTAGGCTGGCCAGGGCCCTGCCTGTTTGTGACCCCTGGTTAACCACTGCCTTCGCAGCTAGACCATGAACTCCAAGGGCAGGGAATATGCATCGACCCTGCACATGAAGTGTGCCAGGCGAGTGTGGTTACTGCTGGCCTTGACCCTGCGCTCTTTCTGGCAGGGACAGTAATGCATGCACCCGACCGTCAGTCTCCCCCCTCCCCAGGGCTCAGGACCGGCCTCAGGTAAGGCTGGGGGGCTGGGGTGGGCCCACACCTGTGACAGTGACGGTGAACGAGGCCGACTCGTTGTTGATTTCACACAGGTACTCCCCGGAGTCCTCGAGCTGGACAGAGGGCAGCACCAGCCGGCGGACGGTTTCCTCTTTCTGCAGGACCCGCGCTGGGCTCTCCACTACCTCCTCCCCGTCCTTGGTCCAGCGCACCTCGGCCCAGGGCCGGCACAACTCGCAGGTCAGCACCACGCGCTCCAGGCGCACGGCGGACACGTACACCTTGCTATTGGGGTACACGATCCACGAAGACACATCTGGAGGGTGAGGACAGCCACTGCTGGGTGTGAGGACCCCACAGCTGGGTGTGAGGACCCCACCGCTGGCCCTCACACCCGGGAGGAAGGCCACTTGTTGATGAACAGGGAACATCCCACACCCATGCTCTCTCCCAATACATGGATGGAAAATGGACAGTCCCAGGTGCGACCATCACAACCAGGGACACAGTGCCAGCCACCCCAATATACAGGAGGTATGTAGGGCAAGGTGGGCCTCAGCTGTATTCCGGGGGCTGGGAGGGAAGAGGGAAGCTGGGGAGAAGAGGCTTGGATCCTCAGAGCCGGGGTCCCTGCAGAGCACACTGAGGAATGCAGACCCTCACATCTTCTGGCTCGTCTGGGGCCTGGACCTACGTGCTCCAGCCTACCTTGAAGTAGAACTGCCCCCCAAATGTCCTTGCAGGGTCCCTTGGGATATTGGAGAGGACAGGGGTCACCCCCCCACACACACACACATGCACTGGTGTGATCAGTATATTAATGACAACACATTTTCAGAGTGTGACTGAGCCTCAGGGTGCAGACCTAGGGAAGGGAGGGAGGCGGGAGGATGGGGTGTGTCCCCCAGAAATGTGCACTGTAAACCGTAAGGCCTGTATTTCTTGTAATTCGTGTGGGAATGTGTTCTGTTAACAAGGCTGCGTTAGTGTAGGGGGAGGGGCCCTGGTGATGCAGTGGTTAAAATGCTGGGGGGGGGTTGGCTAATGGAAAAGCCAGCTGTTCAAAACTGCTGGCTCCTCCTCGGGAGACAGCCATGGCCGCCTGCTTCTGTGAGGATTCAAACCTCCTCAAGCAACCAGTCACCTGACGCTGCCAAGTTGATCCCTACGCATCTCTTCACGGCAGCAGCCCCATCTCTCTCCTTCGGAGCGGCTGGTGGATGTGATCCACTCACTTTCCAGTTAGGTGAGTGCTTAACCACTATGCCACCTGGGCTTCTAACAGAAAAGTCACAGCCTGGGAAGCCCTATGGGGAGTGCGCCCTATAGAGTCTCATTTTAGAGTCAAACTGACTTGTCACCCCTGGGTATTAACGTGGTATCCACAGAGTCAGCTCTGATTCACCTGGCCCTCCGCTGGGGTTTCTGAGGCTGAGAACCTTTACAGGAGGAGACTGCCGGGTTTTCGCCCACAGGACGGTGGTTTCGAATAGCCCACCTGCTGGTTGGTGGAATGCTGTTATCCACTATGCCACCATGAGTGTAGAGTATGTCTTAAATCAGTCTCTTCTGAGATCTAAACAGAACAGATTGAGCAAGCAGCCCAGCAAACAGGGTTCAGAGAAGCCAGAGGCCAAGCCCCAGAAGATCACTGAGGAACAGAAAATCTGAGCAGAGGAATGGCCTTCCTCAAGGGCCTGCAGGAGGAACGGCCGTCCCTCAGAGCCAGCGCCCTGGATGTGGACTTCAGCCTCCTGGTGGTTGTTGTGTACTGTTGAGTCAGGACTGACCCAGAGCTGACACTCTAGTGGGTTTTCAGAGGCAGCAAAACTGCATGGGAAGAGACTGCCCATCTTTCTCCCAAGGAGCAGCTGGTGGATTCGAACTGCATATCTTTGCGTTGTCAGCACAACTCTTTACCACTAAGCCACCAGAGCTCCCTAGACTCCTGCGTGCCTTGTTTGTGAAAGTCACCCACCTGTGGTAGTCGTGTTAGACCATAACTAGGTAACTAAGCCTGGTGTCCAAGCAGCTGTAGGTGAGGGCGTGGGGAGAGCAGGGGCTGGGAATTGTGTCCGGGGATGAGTGCACCACAGCCACTCTGGTGACCACACCTCCCCTCAAGGCCTGCTGGATCCCCACCTGTGATGGTGACAGTGAAGTGGGCGCGCTCTTCTCCAGCGACACACTGGAACTCGCCACCGTCTGCGGGATGGGCGGTGGGCAGCACCAGGCGGTGGTGGACCCCTTCTCTCTCCACCACCAGCGTGTCGCTCTCCTCTACTTCCTGGCCGTCCTTGTACCAGCGCACGGGGGCGTTCTCCCGGTCCACCTCGCAGGCCAGCATGACGCACTCAGAGGTGATGGCATGTACGAACATGTGCTCCCGGGGCTCCACGATGTGCACCGGGGGTTCTGGGGGCAGAGAGGGGATCACACATAGAGGCACCCATGGAGGCACTGAGCCTGAACTGGCCACTGGACCACGGGACACCATCTCCTGGTGGGTAGGGAACATGAGAGGCTTCAGGTAGGACGACAGCCGCTTCTCCCTCTGCACCCCCACTGAATGCTGAGGACATGGCTGGTGAGGCAAGGCAGGACATCATGTGTGGCCTGAGCTGGTGGCTCAGAGGATCAGGGTGTTTGGCAGGGACACTGGAAGGAGGGTAGACACAGACAGTTCACACATTGGCCGCTGTTGTTTGCTTAGCTGGAGAGATGTCACTACCACAAGCCACACCAAGGCCATGCTTGCTGCTGCTTTTACAAGAAGTCCACCTGGGCTGTCCCAAGACAACAGAAGTACAACAGCGGGACAGCAATGACTACAGGTGGTGAGCTCCCTGTCCTGGGGGGCATCCAAGATTTCTACTAAAGTAAGATGAGCTGAGTCCATGGTGCCCAAAGCTTCCCACCTAGAGCCAGCATTTGGGAAAAGGGAACCCCCAGGCTGCATCCTGCCTTTTCTGGCTCTGTAGGTCTGGGGCATGGACATTTACCAGCAGCTGAGGTGGTTCTGAACTAGCAGACTGGAGACTGGCTCCTGAGAACCTCTGGCTCCTGCACTAGCACCTGTGATGAGCTCTGCTTTGGCTGAGCAGTCACAGGGGCCTGTAGGATACACCCAGCACCCATCCCAGCTACGGCATTTGCTGGCTGTAGGTAATGGGGAAGTCACGCAGCCTCTTTAGGATTTGATTCCTCATCTGTGACTAATAGTGACAGTTTAAACGAAAGCGTGTATATCAGAAGCATCTAGTGTAGTTTTCAGCGCTGGGTTCCGAGGTGTGGATAGTTGGCTGGGAAGGGGAGGATGAGTGGGCATTTAGTCCTGGTAGACCAAGGTCACCATGCAGGCGCATGCTCTACAGCAGTCAGTAACCACAGGCACAGTACCTGGCTTGCTGCAGGTGCCCAGGAGATGTTACGTCCATCTCCCTTTCTCTTCCTGGAATATACTTCTCTAATTCTAACACATTAAAATGCCCAGCAGAGGGTATATGTGGGGCAAGTATGCACAGAAGGGCAAAGAAGTAAGTGTAACCTGAGGGTTAAGATATGTGTAACCTGAAGAGTGTCCCCTGGCAGCTGTGTCCCTCCTTGTGATGACCCCTAAGTTGGCAGACAAGGTGAGGGTTTGCACAGCCCTAGAGAGCCTCAGCTTGGAAGTGCCCACTGTGTGGAAGGCCACACAGTCCTGACCTTGGACAGTGACGCTGAAGAAGGCCGAGACCCCTTCGGTCCTGCACTCAAACTCGCCGCTGTCCCAGACCTCCGCCGCAGGCAGGATGAGGCGGTGTTTCCGCCCGTCCACCTTCACCAGCATCGCCTCGTTCTTGGTCACCACCTCTCCATCCTTGTACCAGTTGGCTGGGAAGTCCTCCCTGGAGAGCTCACAGGTCAGCACCACACGATCAGATGTTGTGAAGTTCAGCGACAACTTGTCCTGCGGGCTCAGGATGTGCACAGGGCTCTCTGGATGGGGAGGAGCACAGTCACATGCCCTGCTGCACCCCTCCTCCACTCTATCCCCCCGCCCCCCACCATGCGTCCTCCATCTGGAAGCTGGCTACGTCAGCCTGGTGACTGCTGTAGGTGCGGGAAGTGTGGCTGTGCACACAGTCGGTTCGGGCGAACACACCAACTCGTAAGAGCAGTGGCTTCTGTGTGCATAAGAACCAGGACATCTGCTAAGAGTGCCAGTTCTTAGATTTCCAAGTGTGGTTGCACCAGGACACCTGTGTGATACCCCAGCCCTCCAGGTGATTCTGATGGCGGTGATCCTGCCACAATCTCGGGAAAGCAGCCTGTGGTTCTGGCCAGTGCCCAGCTGGCTCGAGGCCTGGGCTTGGGTGTGGCTCGTCTTACAAATGCTGTGTGCTCTTGAACTCTCCCTCGCCACCTCCAGCTCTCCTCCTCAGGGTGGTCTCACTTCCTCTCTGTCCCTGTTTCTACAGACAGAAGAGTGCGAGACCACCTGGGTGTAGAATCTAGCACGAGCACTTGCTGGCTGTGTGGTCTCAGGCACATCACTTAGCTACTCTGTGCCTCCCTGTCACTGTCTGTAAAATAGGGACACTCCTGGAGCCTTTTGTCTAGGGCTGTTGAGATGATTAGATCAGTTGGTCTTGGTGGAGTGATTAGAAGTCTGCCTGGCTCAGAAAGTGGCAATGTGTTACTTTTTAGACAACAGTGCAGGAAGCAGGCATGGACTTGGAGTCAGGTCTCTCTTTTTTTCCCCCCTGCCTTTAGAAGCCAGGTCTCTTAAATGGGATGGTAAATGAGATAGCACTATGCAAACCATAAAGCACTCTGGCTGTGCAAATAGTTAACACGCTCACTGTGAGGCTTGAGGTTTGAGTCTACCCTGAGGTTTCTTGGAAGAAAGGCCTGACAATCAAGCTCTGGAAATCAAGCACTACAGACCCCTGGAGCACAGCTCAACTCTGGCACAAATGGGATCCCCCGAGAGGGAGTTAATTCGATGGCAACTGACACTATCAAGGACTGTGGATATGGTACTGAATTTGGAGGTGCTAGCACTGGGTCACCTGCCTGTGGCATCTGTGTTGATACAGGCTCTCTTGACTGATGGGCCCTCAGTCTGAGCCCACCGCAGAGACCCCTTACTCTCGTGGCTCCAATGTGAGTGGAAATAGCAGCTGCCCAAGTGCCAGGAAGGAGTTCCGTCTCACATACTTTGGGCGTGTGACTAGGAGGGGCTCCTCCTTGGAGAGGAACACCATGCTTAGAAAGGTGGAGGATGGGGGAGGAGAGGAGGACCCTTAACCAGGTGGATTAGCAGTGACTGCAGCAATGGGCTCGAGTGTGTCAAACATTGTGAGGATGGCACATGATAGAACAGGGTTCAGATCTGTGTTTCATGGGGTCGTTATGAGTCCTATTTGACGGCACGTAACAACAATGCAAGAAGCTGTGCTGCAATCCCAAAGAAATGCAGTTCAAATCCACGAGCTTCTCTGTAGGAGAAGGAGGGGCAATCTCCTGTGTGATTTACTACCTCTGAAAACCTGGCTGGAGGATCAGCTATGAGTCAGTTCTGACTGATGACACATAAAACAGAAATAACTACCAAGAGGACTTGTGTCTTGACCGGGCCTGTGTACCTGGCCCCTCCTGCACCCACCTTGGATGGTGAGGGCTGCTGAGTCCTGCACCCCGGGGCAGCTGAAGCCCACGAGGGCCCCGCTGTCCTGATGTTTGACGCCGAGGAGGATGAGCCTGTGCTGCAGGCCCTTCTGCTCCATGCGGTATCGCAGGGCCCCAGGCTCCACTTGGCCTTCCGGCTCATCGCTCTTCAGCTCTTGTCCATTGAGGAACCAGACGCCCTGGATGATGGTGGAGAGGTCGAGCGAGAAGACGGCGTCCTCCCCATCATACACTTGCACATCCTCCAGACCTGCCACCAGGCGTGCTGTAGGCACTGGGGTGGGGGTAGAAGGCAGCAGTCAGAGCCAGAAGAGGAGGCAGAGGGCAGGTGGGAAGATGTCTAAGAGGATGGGAGTGAAGGAAGGCTGAAGGGGTGAAGGGGTGGGCAGGACTGGCTCACCGAGGTGGGCAGAGCCCTGAAACACCACGTGGGGGCTGCGGCCGTGCTCGCTGACCGTGCAGACCCGGAAGCGGTAGTCCCCCTCGTTGGGCACGCAATCTCCAGGCACCTCCACGGCACCAGCCTTCTCGATGCTGAAGCACTGAACCCAGTCTTCTGAGCCCACCTCCTGCCGCTCCAGCCTGTAGATGAAGGGGGTCTCGGGAGCCGGCTCGGGAGGCCTCCAGGTGAGCAGGACGGTGTTCTTGTGGCCCTTGAACATCTCTGCCAGCACTGGTGGGCCTGGGGGGCTGTGCTTGACACCTGAGACAAAGGCAATGTTTGTGCTGAGACCCCAGGCCGCCCTGCCACCTTTCTGCCATCCACCGGCCCTGGTCACCCTCCTGCCAAGGCCTTACATTTGACTCTGAGCAGAGTGGTGGTCCTGGAGTTGCCCACACTAAAGGTGATCTCGCCAGCATCCTCTCGGGTGACCCCGGGCAGGACCAGGGCATGCATCTGGCCAGAGCTGCTCTGGCAGGTGGCTGGTAGGTCCTCCCCATCACGGCTCCAGTGCCCCTCAACCCCGGGCTCTCGAGTCTCCACCAGCAGCACCGCGTTCTCTCCCTCCAGGACGTCCAGTTTCCGGGGCAGCCGCTTCAGGATGGGCCCTGGATGTGAACGGGACCCCATTAGGCCATGATCTGGGCACACGCCCACCTCAGCCTCCACCCCCCGCCGGCCAGCCCGCCCACCTTTGACTGTCACGTTGGCCACGGAGCGCACACGGCCCCGCATCTCACACAGGTAGACGCCGTCATCATCCGCCTTGAGCCGGTGGATGATGAGGCGCCGGATGGCGCCCTCCTCAATCTGCTCGTACTTGCGACAGGGAAGCAGCCGCTGGTCCTCCCGGAACCAGGCCGTGGGGATGCGGGAGTTGGGGACTTTACACTCCAGCACCACGATGCCATGCTCCCGGCCCTCCACGTCCTGCAGGGGCCTGGAGAACCGGAGGCGGGGCTCTATGGGGAGAGACAGGAGAGCTCTGGAGAGGGGCCTGTGTCACCTTGATACATACTAGTTAGCAGATCCCCTTAGCCATCAGCCACGTCCCTGTGAACAAGCCCACTTTCCTCATCTTGGCCCTCGGTATCCTTATCAGTAAGATGGGAAAAGGGAAGGAAGAGGTAGGACCAGATGTGTGATTTTCAAGCTATTTTCTAGGGCCCCTCATATGTTGTTTGCCACCTGGTTGAGTCCCACTCGTGTATACAGAGTAGAACCATTCCATAGGGTTTTCAAGCTGGCCTTTGGGAAGCCAACCACCAGCCTGGATTCTGAGGGTCCTCAAGTTCAAACAGCCAACATTTTAGTGAGTAGCTGAACACTTAACCATTGACAGCCACAGAGGGCATCTTACTCTCAAGCTCTGCAAGGGTCTCAACTGAATCTGATTTCAATGATTTTCAAAACAGCTACCTTTTTAAAAGTCAGCCTGATGGTGGCGACACCTGGTAGGATAACTGGTGTAGCTCTGGGCGGATTCTCTTCAGCTACAGCACAATCAGACATGGGGCTTGCACCCCAGTGGAGTACTGGGGAGTTCACCTGGCACAACATGGCTGCCCATGACGTGCCAGGCCGGGTGCCAAGGAATCTGGCAGTCTTTTCTCCTCCACAGGAAAAAAGTCTGGGAACAGCTAGTGAAGGTGTGAGGTCTGATGGAATCTTACAGTGGAGAGTGATAACGGCCCGTGTTTGGTTTACATAGTTCTTTTCTAAATTAATGTTCTGTATATACATAACATAAGCATTTATTAGATATTGTCAGTAGTTAAATGTTTGAAGAAAAACTTCCTCTCCTTTGACTACTTCTTTCAAACCTGGAGAGCAGTTTAATGAAGTAGTTAGAAAAAGGATATTTATCCTTTTTGAAGGTTTCTCTTTTGATGGGAATTGGTACTGCCAGCCCAAAGCCCGTGCCTCTCTGGGGGTTCAGACCCACCAGCGGTTCCACAGGAGAAAGATGGGCAGTCTCCTCCTGTGTGATTTATCGCCTCAGAAGCCCACTTGGTAGGTTAGCTCTGAGCTGGTTCTGACGGAAGGCAGTGAGTTCGAATTCTTACTATAAGGGGAGTTGGAGGTGTTATCGTGGCTGCTGACAGAAAAGATGACATCCAAGCTCACCCACAGAGTGGTGGTGTGCTCTCTGAAATAGTACAGCTCGGAAAACTCTCTGGGGCAGTTCCACTGGAGTTCACTCGGAGTAGAAATCTAACCTGATGGCACCTAACAACAACCATGTTCTGTGCAAAGCAGGAATTTATGCACATATGGCTTCATACTCATTCTTTCCCCACTGGGACTCCAGGCAAGATGGAGTGAGGAACACAGCCCCCACTTTAAATGTTTGTATCCATTTTTCAACTAATTTAAAAAGTTAAACACAAAGGAAAGTAAATGTAAACATAAAATAGAAATGTCTGTAGGTAACAAAAGAACCCATTTGTTCTTATCAATTAGCTTTACAAGTATTTGTAAGAATTCGGATATAAATTGACCCCAAAACCCTCCTTTGATTTGTTTTATACGAGTGGAGCAGCTCCAGATGGGATTGCACTGGGGGATGGAGTAAAAACAACAAAAAAGGCTGGAAGCCGGAGGATTGGAAGAGGTCAAACGTCAAACGCCCCTTGTTCGGGTTTGCATAACAAAACCCTCTTCCAGCTTCTTAAAATCTTTACCCCTGAGTGGTTCTGCACCTCCTGCCTCTATTAAGGACTTAGTGAAGAAATTTCCTGAACCCCTGGAGCCTCTCTAAACCCATTCTCGTGGGGTGGGGTGGGGTGGGGTGGAGGGCATGTCTCTGAGCATCTCCCTCCCATCTCCCGGGGGCGCTGCGGCACCTTTGACGTGCAGCTGCACTGCGCTGAGCGTCTGGCCAGCCGAGTTGCGCGCGGCGCACACGTAGAGCCCGCGGTCCTTGGCTTGGCAGTAGAGCACCTTGAGCACGAAGCCGCCATCGCGGTCGCGGTACATGAGGCGGCGGCGGTCGGGCAGCAGTGGGCGGCCCTCCCAGTGCCATTCGATCTCCGGCTCGGGCTTGCCCATCACGTAGCAGCGGAACTTGGCGTGCTTGCCCTCGTTCACCCAGAAGGTCTTGGGTGCGCACTTGATCGGTTCCACCACGGGCTGGGGTTCCTCCTCTGAGTCCGCGGGCGGACTCTCGGGGGGCTGGTGCACCTGGAGCAGCGCACCCGCCTGCACATGGCCTTGAGGGTTGCGGGCATGACACACGTAGACGCCCGAGTCGGGCAGCCGCGCCCCCAGGATGCGCAGCGTGAGGCTCACTCCGCGGCCGCCCTCGGTGCGGCCCGGCACCAGGGTGTAGTGGCTGCTATCCCACACTTCGTCCAGGGCCATCCCATCTTTCTCCCAGTACAGCGTGGGCTCGGGCAGGCTTCCCACCTGGCACGTAAGCACCACCTCGGCCCCACGCAGCACCCACTGTGACCGAGGCCCGGTCAGGAACACCGGGGCGCCCTCCCCAGCCCCGGGCGGCGCGACTGGGCGCTCGGTGGCCGGCGGCTCGGGCTCGGGCGCCGGTGGCTCGAGCACAGTGACGGCGGCCGCCGCGTAGGCCTCGCCGGCCGCGTTGCGCGCGCGGCACACGTAGACCCCCGCGTCGGTGGGCAGCGCGCTCCTCAGCAACAGGCCATGTTCCGCGCCGTCCGCGGGGAAGCTCAGGCGCTCCGAGGCCACCAGTTGCTGCCCGCCCTTCTCCCACACCACGGTGGGCGGCGGCTCGCCCAGCACCACGCACTGGAGCTCCACTTCGCCCCCGCTCGCTACCCGCACGGGCCGCGGGAAGCGGAGGAAACACGGGGGGCTCCCTTGTTCTCCAGAGCTCGCCTTCATCGCGGAGGCCTGGGACGACCCGGGGGGACTAGGAGGCGGGGTACTCGGAGATCGGGGCCCAGAGACTGTGGAGTTCTCCAGGGCTGCCGCTCGCAGCTCACCTCCTTACCCTTGGCCTGGAGCTGTGGATCTGTGCAGAGATTTCCAGGCCTGCAGCCAAAGCGGGGGTGCAGTGTTGCCTGCTTGCAGCGGGGCTCCAGGAGCCTCCTCGGGCCGGACTTCCTACACTCAGCCACCCCCTCCCACAGCTCAGTCCTCTTTTCCCCTCCTCCCGCCTCTAGCGGCCAGTCCCCAGCCTCCCGCCCGCCTAGAGCCTGAGTGGCAGAGTCGCCTGTTGCTGCCAATCCCAAAAATATTCTCTGATGACACAGCTGGAGGACGAGAGGCTAGACTAGCTCCTCCCGGCTAAGTATAGAGCAGACGGGACCACCCGCCACCCCAACCCCAGGCCTGCCCCACCACGGCTGGCCGAGCGGTGCACGGGGGTTCCTAGAAGGTCTGAGGGGCCAGCCAGACTTTCTCCCAGACAAATAACACCTTCAGGAGTCCACCACCAAGGCTTCTGTCCCACCTGATGTCACCAGGGAGCTGGCTGCTGGGACGAGAGACTCACTGTACGCTAGTGTGTGTTTGTGTGTGCGCGCACACACACATATGCGCGCCGTGCGCATGCACGACTGCGGGCACGTGTGCAAGTACGGGCATGCGTACGTGCGCGTCTGCCTGAGTGCGCGCGCATGTATGGGGCTGTATGTGTATATCTGCGCGTCCGTGCTCATGTGTGAGTGTGTGCGCGCGTGCTCACATATGTAGGGGGGAGGGGCTGTAGGTTTGGGTCAGGTCATTTAGGGTGAAACCCTTCCCAGCCCCCTCCCTCACATTCCTGTCCGTAGTGGGAGATAAGGCTCAGGGCCACAGACGTCTGTGTCAGAGATAGGGAGTCTCAATGCCATGGGCAGGGGCAACTGGGTCTGTTGGGCGTGGAAAGGAGTGGTGAAGACTGGGATGAGAAGGGTAGAAGAGGGCGGGTGATGGGGTGGAGAGGGTAGAATAGGAAGGACCCTGTTATACTCAGGCAGACTGGGCCAGGACTGGGTGTGCGTGCGCTGTGAACAGGGGCCAGGTGAGCCATGGTACCGCCAAGGCCCTTGCTATTCCTCTCACTGCTGACCCTGCAGGGCGCACATGGCTGCCAAGGGCCGGAGGTGGACCGAGAGTTTGTTCTGGCCAAAGTGAAGGCCCTGATCCTGGATGCCCTGGACGCCCCAGCAGTTATTGGTCAAGGTGGAGACCCTGGCATCAGAAGGCTGCCCAGAAGACATGCCCCAGGGGGCTTCCCAAGCACGGTGTCAGAACCAAAGCAGGAGGAGGAAGAAGATAGTTCCCAAGTCATCCTTTTCCCCGCAACAGGTAACAAAGATGGGAACTGGCGTGGCACCTGTGCAGTGTGGTACAACATGGGCGTGGGAGCCAGGCAGACCTGGGTTTGAATTCCACTGCCACTGAACAGGCTTTGCAGCCGCGCATAAATGACTTACCCTCTCTGAACCTCTGTTTCCTCTGTACAGTGAGGCTGTAAAGCCTACCTTTCAGTATTAAACGAGACAGGGTCTGGAGTCCGGGAGCTTATATAGGTGGTCCTCAGGTCTCTGGAGAAAGCTATCTGAGGCCAGACACTTTTCTTGCTGTCTCTGCCTCTGCCCTCTTTTTCTAATGGTAAATTGTTTCAGTTTTGGATGACAGATTGGAGAATGCTTCAGGGATGAAGAGAAAAGAGTAGTTGGTGAACGAACTCCTCTTGAGCTTCCTTCCACCTCCTCCGTGCTTTTCCCATTCTTTGCTGACTGCATGGTCTTCTTGTATCTGTCCCCCCTTTTCTCTTGGGGAAGATCCCTTCATCGCTGCCTTTTTAAGCCTTTTGGATCAGGAGAGGCTAAAACTGTACTTTGGGGGTTAGGCACAATTCCAGTCCGACCACTGAATAGTTGAATGCCACACCACTCCTCTGACCCCCAGTTTCTTTATTGTAAAATGGACAGCTTGTTGTGATGATTCTAGAGGGTGATTTCCTTTAACAGTTCAGCCTCAAGTGACAGACCTTCCACTGGGGCTGGTCCACAGTGAAGTGATTAGTGGAGTCTGCATGTGCCAGTGTAAGGACGCCAGCTGCATGTTCTTGGAGAGAACTACTTCCTACTCTGAGTTATGTCTTTTCTATTTTTGAGGGTGTGTGTGAACATGTCTTTTTTTTTTAAAAAAAGGAAATTATTTTAAATACTTTAGCATGCACTATTTCTGACACGCAAAAAGGTATTCTTAAGAGGAAGCTAAGAAGCACCTGCCTGTATGGCATGCGTGGTACCGCTGCATGTTATCAGGTGGACAGACACGTAAACCTGATGGATAGCTGTCAGTGTTGATGAAGGTGGAGTGATCCAGGGCCTCTCCCGTGATGTAGATGAGAATATTAACTTGCCTGGCTACTCCAGAAAAAGGTTGGCAAAATCTTGACTCTTTTATGAGTTTTTTTGTTGTGTACTGTAATGTCGTAACTGAACCCTAGTTGACTCTCCAGTGGGTTTTCCAGAGGCAATTAATCGCAGAGAGGGGAGATTGCCCATCTTACTCATACAGAGATGCTGGTGAATTTGAACCATGTACTTTTGGATTGCCAATGCAGCTCCTTACCACCAGGCTTCCAGAACTGTGTAAAAGAGATATGTGACTAGGTATTTCTGTCATCACAGGAGTCTAGAGCGAGGGCTACACGGTGGAGCGGACCTGGGGGAGGGTTTGTAAAACAATGAAAGAATCTTTTCTTTTACTTTTCCATAATTTTTGACTCATGTACTTATAACTTGCTAGTTAAATTTGTGTCTTCTAGGTTGCAACACCCCCATGATACATCTTCAAGGATATGAACATGTACGGCTAAGCACAATTAATAACAGTGCATCTAAATTCCAAAATCAATCTCCATAATAGTCTATGTGTTTCCTACTGCCAAAGGGGCCCTTTAGAGTAGTGAGAGAAGATCTTCACCCTGAAACCCACAGCGTCCCTTTTCAGCAGGAAGTAGCTAAGAGAATACGCCATCCCCTTTTCCTTATGACTCAGGGTGAAGTCTCTCTCAGGGAGGAGTGATAGGGAATGGCAAAGAACACACTGACAAAGGAGATTAATCAGAACTGACTTTGACAAGCACTGTGGCAACTGGACAATTAAAACAGACATTCGGATGGCGGGGAAGAAGAACAAACTGGGGAGGAGGGTAGAGAGAATGGTGCAGTAATGAAGGAATGAAAACCCAAAATCCCTGTAAATGTTCATTAAAACGAATAAAATTTAATAAAATAAAAAAAATTAAAATAAAGGGCTTTAATGATGACGTCAAGGATAAATCAGCCCTCATGAGTGGCACGGTCCCCCATCCCTGCCTCCAGAGCTGCCCTTCCTTCCCTCTGTCTCTGCAGGTTCCAGCTGTGACGTTGAGCCAGCCACCGCAGAGCTGGGCCAGGAGGCTACGGAGGGCCTCTTCACATATGTGTTCCGGCCATCACAGCACACGCGCAGCCGCCAGGTGATCTCGGCCCAGCTGTGGTTCCACACTGGGCTGGACACACAGGTCCAAGCAGCTTCCAATGGCTCTGGGCCCCTGCTGGATCTGATGGCACTGTCATTTGGGGACCCCGTGACAGTGCCCGTATCCCTGGGCCAGGCGCCCCCTCGCTGGGCTGTGCTGCACCTGGCCACCTCCACCCTGCCCTTGCTCACCCACCCAGTGCTGGTGCTCATGCTGCGTTGCCCGCTGTGCACCTGCTCAGCTCGGCCTGAGGACAGTCCCTTCCTTGTGGCCCATACCCAGGCTGGAGCTCCAGAGAGAGGGAGGAGAGCCCCACGTTCCACAGCCCCACTGCGCTGGCCGTGGTCTCCAGCCGCACTGCGCCTGCTGCAGAGGTCTCCAGAGGAGCTCACTGCCCACGCCAACTGCCACAGAGTCTCTCTCAACATCTCCTTCCAGGAGCTGGGCTGGAACCACTGGATCGTCCATCCTCCCAGCTTCATCTTCTACTACTGTCGTGGGAGCTGTGAGACGTCCACCACAGTGGGCCTGTCCTGGTCAATCCCTGTGATGGGTCCCACCCCTCCCCAGCCTGTCTCTTTGCTGCCAGGGGCTCAGCCTTGCTGTGCTGCTCTTCCGGGGACCTTGAAGCCCCTCCGCGTCCGCACCACCTTGGACGGAGGCTACACCTTCAAGTACGAAGTGGTCCCCAACCTTCTTGCCCAGTACTGCACTTGTCTTTGAGGGCCCTGCCTCCTGTCTGATGACTGCTGGGCAAGATTTAACATCCACTGGGAGGCTGCTTGGGAGGAAGTTCTTAAGATGGAATATTTCCACTACCCCCTTCTTCCCCTTCTCTGCTTTAGGGCTCTTCCCGCTCCTGCGCCCTGTTCCCCATGAATAACATGTGACAATAAAGAGCAGAGTGCGTATGACCATATGACTCGGCATGTGTTCTCAGCTTTCTCTGATATGATATGTGACAGTCTGGGGACAGAGAACATGGGACTGTGGGATCTCAGGTCATCCAGCCTCACCTGACCTCAGAGATGTAGGATTCAAGGGCTGCAGATGCACACATACACCTGTTGGGGAGTGACAACGCGTAGAGACCACACAAAGGTGTTCTCAGCTCCTCTGCTGCTTTGGAGCTGAGCTGGCTCCCAGACCCAGCCGTCAGGTGACCCACCCCATCCCTGCCTCACCAGAACGAACTGCTGCACACATGGTGCCCTCCCCCAGGGCAGCTGTGCCCTCCCTGCCCTTCTCTGCTGTAGCTGATGGGCGTCCAGCCCAAGGTCAATGGATTCAAAGGCTGCCCAGGCATCCTTTGGGGCCTGAAGAGAAAAAGGTTCACAGCTGGCCAGATCTTGGTGTTTCTCGGGAACTTGGGTGGGGAAGAAAGAAAAGTGGTTTGTCAGGTTCAGAAAGGAATCAGCAGAGGTGGAGAGTTGACATGTGTTAGGGTCAGATCAGCAGATGGAGACCGAGAATGTCCCCTTCCAAGGGTTCTGGAACTTCTTCGAATATATCACTGGCTCTTGAGGTCGACTCTGTGGGACCTTGCTGTCTAGGAATTCTGGCGTTTGAACCATTTGGCTCCCTTGATGATCCCTGTATATTTGTAACCTCTGAATGTCTGGAGGGTGGGAAGTTGGAGTCTAATGCCAGAAAAGAACTGCTACTTTGTGATTATCTGCTCACAGAGCAAACATTGGGTAGGATGGGAAACAATTGTTTACATTTCATGTTAACTCAGTCAGTTTCCACTTTGATAGAGGGCCTCCATCTGACCTTACACAGCCAAACCAGGTGCCACCAGGTCCACTCACTACATGGAGACCCTGGGTGTGTCAGGATAGACTAATCTTCACCAGGTTTTCAGGAGCTGAATTTTCAGAACTAGAAAGCCAGGGCTTTCTTCCAAACCACCTCTGGGTGTACTTCAATCTCCAGTCGTTTGATGAGCAGTCCAGCTTGTTGACTGTCCTGCCCAGGACCCCCTTGCCCTTTTCCCTTCCCACTCCAGGGGTCCTGGGTCTCTGCAAGCCTGACTCTAGCCTGTCTGCCTTTAGGGAAGATGCGGTGGGGGTGGGAACACCCAGCCCCTTCACACTGAAGCACTCTCTGAGACTGAGCACCCAACTCCACTGTGTCTTTGTGCTCAGAGGGTCTGTGACTTGTCAAAGACTCCCTTCTACTAGGTCCCCTTGGCAGGCTGAGGGCGTCAGGCCTGCCCCAGGAAGCGGGTGTGGGAGGGAAGAGAATCCCATCCAGACACACTTATGATAACACCCTTCCCCCACTTGAGCCACCCTGAACGAGTTACTGTCCTTGCACTCACAGAAGCCATCCGGAGCAGCCATCCAGACCATATGCCCCACACAGACTCCAGTCTCTGTTGGCACTGAGGCCCCAGGGAAGCTGTCACTGTCCTGGAGGAGGGGACCCACTTGTTCATACCTCCTGAGGTCCCACAGCACCTTTCTGCAGACACTGTACCCTGTACGGGAAGAGCTCTGGGCTTGTGGGAGGCCCAGGCAAGTGGTGGACATGCAGAAACGCTGCTTGGCTGGGCAGCAGTGGGGATGGGAGGCTTCTCTCTGGCCTGTCCTTGTTCTGCTTTATCTCAGCCTTTTATCTCGTTCTGGGAAATGAGGACTGGCCTGCTCCAGAGGGAGACCTTTCCATGGGATCTTCAATCTTCCTTTGAATGGGATCCTCATTCTTCCTACTAGAACCACAGACCTGGGACTCCATGCTGTCCAGATGTCCCCTGTCCCAGAGCAGAGGGCTCTCCACTTGGAGAGAAATTCACCCTTCGGCCACTTAACAAATGAGTGAGGGTTGTAAAAGTTTTTACACAGTTGAGACAAAGAGGAAAAGCAAGTCCTTCAGAAAACCAAACATACTCATCTTAATTACCAATGCATCATGCTTCAGACTGAGTCACCACTGACCCTTCAAAGGACTGTCTTTCATGGAAAAAGTGATCCATTCTCTCTCACTGTCTCTCTCTGGGCTGTGTGTGTGTGTGTGTGTGTATGAAAACACTATTTCTTCCATGATATGTAGTAACTGGAAGCAGGAGTTGCATCCACTTCCTAAGCAACTTGTCTCTGGAAACTCTATGAACTTTGATAAATGTTGACAGTTGTAGAGGGCCTTCAGGCCCTTTGTTCATCGGGTCACTATGACTCATGCTCAGCTCAAAGGCAATCAACAACAACAATGTAGTGATAGTAGATGGAAGGATTTTGTTTGGGGCATTACATTTTTACTTAAAAAAATCGAAACTTGGAAAATTTACTTGGGCCTCTAAGATTTTCCTTTGGCATCTGGCCACTTTGTGACATCTTAAAGCATGGAGGCAGTCACTGGTTCGGATCACCCCTCCCAGGGACTCTTATGTTGCATTGTTAGGTGCTGTTGAGTCAACAACTTCCAGGGATCCCACAGGACAGAATAGAAAACTGCCCCATAGGGTTTCCTGGACTGCGATGTTAGCGGAGCACAGCACCAAGGCTTTCTTCCATGATGTTACTGGACAGGTTTGAACAACCAGCCTTCCAGTTAGTAGACAAGATCTTGATTGTAGAGTCTCCAGTACTTGCAGCCTAAAGTCTTCTTGTTACGTGCCATAAAGTCAGTATCGACTCACAGCCGACCCTCTAGCAAGTTTTCAGAAGCTGTAAATCTCCTAGGAAGAGATTACTCAACTTTCTCCCTCGGAGAAATGGATGAATTCCAACCTTATACTCTTGGATTGGCAGATCAACTCCTTACCCACTATGCCACCAGAGCTCCCTTCTAAAACCCCAGATTCTTCTTAATTAACAACTCAAAAAGGTAAGGGAGACATGACAGTGTCTTAAGAGCATCCGTCTCTTTGTCTTTGCTCTTTGGAATGAGACCAAGAAGAGTGGACTTCAGAGATATGCCCCATGCCAAGTGCTGATTGTTAGAACATTCTGTGCAAACTCATGCTCAGTTCTGAGTCATTTACAGCTGACTTGGGGTTGGGGTGGGGGGGCGGGGCACGGGGATTCTCTAGCTCATGGTAAGTTCACGGGCACAATTGGCTAAAGTATGGCTTAATTCTGGGAGCCAGCAAGAAAGCTTGCTCACAAAGTTCCAGAATGGAGCTTGAGGGTCTGATTGTTCTGATTAGAGTTAGGAGCATCTCTTAAAAAAGATGTCACAGGGAGCAGAAAGAATGAATGACTCCTTAATGCGTCCTTTCTCTAGAAGTGTGGAATCTAAAGTACAAAATAAAAAGGTGGAAGACATTGGCATCCTCAAAGCTGGGAACAGTTACCGCAAAAGATTGAAGCTGTTTTGATGCTGAGAGGCAAGCCCAGGTCGTCCCACTTCTTCAGTAGCTCTTAAATCATGTCCTTTCTCTCCATCTGCATAAACCTTCTTTTTGTCATGTGGGATCATTTACTAGATTGGACAACTCAACCATCTCTTTAGACAGTGATCCTGGGAATTAAAACACCCAGAATTTGAACTTATTTTATGTAGAAGACAACTTGTATTAAGATATAAACCTGGCAAATAAAAAACACAATGAGATACCCTCTTACTCCAGTATCAATGGCAAAGTTTAACAGGATGGCAAGTGATGAATGTTGGAGAGGATGTGGCAAGATAGGAACTCTTATACATTGTTGGTGGTGGGATTGCAAAATGGTACAACCACTCTGGAAAACAGTTTAGCACCTCCTCCAAAAACTGAACATAGAAATTCCATAGGACTCAGCTAATTCACTGGTTGGCATATACCTTGAGAGAATGAGAATTGAGGCAAAAATGGAGTATTGTACACCAACGTTCATAGCAGCATTATTCACCATTTCAAGAACATGGGAACAGCCCAACTGTCTAACCACAATCTAATAGACTGCAAAATTATGGTACATTCATACAATGGAATACTATGCAGCACATAGGAGCAATGATTTTGTAAATTACTACTTAACTCGGGAGGGACTGGAGAGAATTATGCTAAGTGAATTAACCCAGCCCCATAAAGAATATCTTCCTGAAGATTATTTTATAATGGCTGGAGCACTGCATAGACAGGGAACTCTCACAAAATCAAGCTGATTTTGGAAGAGAACATGGAATAAGAGCTATCATGGCTGATATCAGACTGAAAGTAGAGAACACCAGAAAGATGTTTACTTGTGTTTTATTGGCTAAGAAAACAAAGGTATTTGGTTGTATAAATAATAATAAATTATAGTCAATATTGAGAAGAAAGAGACTCTAGAACACTTCATTATTTTCCTAAGAGACCATAAGGAGTTGTTTGAACAGAATAAGGGGATATTTAACTGCGTAAAACCAGGACACTTGTGCATTAGGGTTCTATGAATCAGAGCGGACTTGATGGCATCTAACAACATCATTTAATCTGTATGCTGAGCAGATAATTTTGGAAACTGGACTATACGAAAAAGAGCGTGATATCAGAAAGGAAGATACATCAACAACCTGGATTATGCTGATGACACAACCTAGGTTGCAGATACTGAAGAGAACTTGAATCACTTGCTGCAGAAGACCAAAGACCAAAGACTACAGCCTTCAACATGGATTACATGTCAACATCAAGAAAACAGGAAATCCTTACCATTGGGCCAATGGAAAACATCCTGAGAGATGGAGAAAAGATTGAAGTTATAGATTATTTCATCTTATTTGGATCCATAATCAGCATCTATGGGGATAGCAGT